ATAATTCATTTATCTTCCTATTGTTCCACACACTCTGGGAGAAACACCCCAATCTCTTATACTCTTTTATTTAGCTGCATCTGAGCTTATCTACCTTTTATTTAGCTGCATCTGAGCTTACCTACTTAACTAGGCAGACACCAACCTTTACTGAACAAAATATGCTTTCCAGTATATTCTGACACTTATCTATAAACCTCAACTGCCAGCCCGTCTCATATTTAAATCATCTAAGCAGATATCATTGTACTGTGCTGCATGATCTTGTATTCTAATCGAAAGTTCTGTTATGTACTTTCTTGTTGGATGGAACTTCATATATACTGGCTTCAAGGGAGAAACGTGATTTACAAGAATAGTATCTTGAAAGTACTAATTACAAATTATTTTGGGACGTAGTACACCCATGACTTGGGATCAAATCTCACCTCCTTCACTGCCCTCTACCAAAATTAAGACAATAGTATCTTAACTGGTTATCTGGGGGTCTTGTTGTAACTGACAAGAAATTTTAATTTTTCATATTTCAGTCCGTTTAGTGAGAGTGCTGGTACTGTTGGTGCTGGAGTAGTATCGCCTGCTGAACAATCTGGATGTATGCCAATGGCTGAGGTCTTCAAGCTTTCTGTTTCTAGCTTCAAAGTCAATGATTGGAGCCTCTTTAGTGCTTGAAGATGTTATTTTTAGTAAATAGCACTGGTGCACTTTTGTACGAAGTAGTTTGTAGAAGTGAAATGATAATTTGTTCGATGTCATCAAATAGAATTTTGCTACCAGAAGGTTAATACTTGGAAATTGTCAATCATTTACCTCACATCTTGGATAATAAACTAACAGCCACAAAATAATACAGGGATTGTTTTGCTCACTTCTTGCTCGTACGATCTAAATATTGTAGCTGTGTGTATGTTGTTGAAACGGGAAAGTAATCTGTTATATATGCTCATCCTGTCGAAACAGGGAAGTTCCTACTTACTGGATAGCTGATTATTGTTATATGCAGCAGCTGTTGCTGCTGAGATATTGACCAGCTCATTGAACTTAGTTTGAGGACTATACAGTTATGAAAATGATCTTATATATCAGTGTTCAGATATCTGAGATGTTTGCTTTTGCCCTAGTTACATTAATCAGAAATCAGCAAAGATATTTGCTTGAGCTTAGTACATTGTTTAGTTTTTTGAGGGACGTAATGATAACATGACTGCGAAATATAATTTATGTCAAAGATGGCAAATTCTCAAAGAAGGAACGAATCTGATAATTCACAAAAGACTACATAAAATCATTGCTTTGTTAGCTATTTCTTCCAAAATTTGAAACATAACTTGAAATCGTACAACATTTGAGTATATTTGAGAAGGTTGAACATCATCATTTCCTAACTCATCCTTCTACAACGTCAACTAAAGGGAAATAAGCAGGCTTATATAGGATTATTGTAGGAATAGGTCACATTTGCAACGATTTTCCTATATATAAATGCTAAAATAATACTTTCCCAAATGCTTGTTTTTTTAAAAAGAAAAAAAAAAACACTTTCTAGACATCGCTTATGTCTACTTTTTAAAAATACTTAAACTCTCATTGAAGCACCCTGAGCTTTCCTCTTGTAAACCACCATTTTCACCGTCATATTTCCGAGCTTTGTTCAATGAAAATCCTACACTTAATGCAGCTTATATCAATTTTCACCAGTTAAAGCATAGACTCTGACGCCATTCATGGAGGTGGACTTCAGTGTACCTCCATTGTAAGCCATTCTAGTCTTTTGGAAGACTCATCAAACGGTTTAGCATAATATCATACAAACCTTAAGAGACAAAAGCTACTTTATTTAGAGCTAAGAGAGTTCATTTTATGATTCATACATAAACAAGAATTAAAAATAAAACATAATTATTTAACAATAGCATAGAGTGATTGTCAGAATACTACTGACTCAAACAGCTTCAGACACAAGCCTGCTATGTGCTATATCCACCTCTGGTTGTTAATAAGAGCAGGAAGGTACTCCTGCACAACAAAATCCACATGAAGCGCGATCTCTATGGTTATCAACTTGTGGTCTATCATTCTTTTCACCTCAGCAACCCTCTCCTCAGACTTGTTCACAAAGTTGTCATTCAAGAGACTTAGCAATAGCTAAATCCTCGTCATCCATATCTACAAAGGTACGAGACTTAATCACTTGAGCATTGAGAGGGTCCTCAGCAGACTCCAAGTGAACGTGTCTAATCCCCAACCACTTAATGTCAAGTTCAACACCAGAAAAAACACCACGACATCTCCTTCGGTATCCACCTTTCATAGAAGGAGAGAAGCTTAAGGGAAATGGGTTCATAGTCCACCAAGGCAAGAATTGGAACGCACCACTCCCTCTTGAGCAGCCTGAGAAAGTAGCAGGTGCACTCATCTGCAGTGCCCTTGAGCAAGAAAAATTTGTGTCTAATATGGCAACTATTGGAAAAAAGGTTGACAAAAGTTTTAGCGGAATCAGTGAGCAAAATGAAGTGTGCATCAGATTTCATCTCTTTAAGCTGTTCCGGCTTCAGTGGCTGGGAATTAGGGCCGCACCAAGGAACACTATAATATATATTATAGAAAGCATAAGTGGCAGTTTCATTGCGTGAAAACATGGGTACGTCGATGAAATCAAAGTCTTTCTTAGGAATATCAGAGCGGGGATACACAATAATGCCATCATTGGTTCGGTAGATATAACCTTGATCACAATCACCACCAGAATCAGAAACAGAATCAGAATCACAATAAGAATCAGAATCAGAATCAGAATCGAGATCGGGAGATATAGAAAGCTCGGCTAAGGCTGAGGCTGATATCCTGAATCTTGAAAAACCTGCTACTGAAAGAAACACAGAACATCCAGTCAGTACGCGTACTACATAGTCTTTTACAAACACAGAACATCCAGTCAGTCAGTCAGTCAGAACAACCCACAAACTCTACTCCCTCCGTCCAAGCCTATTTCTCTGTATTACGTGAGTAATAAATATTAAAAATAGGGTTCTAATAAAGGGACGGAGGGAGTATCATACAACATACTCTTAATTGAAAAAAGGCTATCTAACTAATACTCCAGTATTAACACAATGATTATTGTTTCCAACACCAATGAATTGGCTCAAATATACGAGGTCTAATTTCATACTTCAATCCTAACATTAAAAGGGTTTTGCAATAATACATTATTATCACATAATTTTAGGGATATGTGATTCAATTAACAAATTTCTAGAAACATAATCTATCGCTGGCTATCATCTTTGATAATCTTCATGAGTTCATGCAAGCATAGTTATCCAACCATATATACTTTGATCTTTTCTCCACACATTCCTAACAGATTACTAAAAGAAACAGCAACGAACTTAGCTCAAATAATGGAGAACGTCAACTGCGATGTTGAATTTGAATGCGCTTCAATGGAGGAGGAGAGAGAAAGAGGAGGCAGGGCTATATAGTCCGGTTTTTTTTAAAGGCAAGAAGAAATAGCATTTTTTTATTTTTTTTTTTCCACTCGTTTCACCCACTGGGTTAATCCGGATTCAGAGATCAATTCTGGGTGGTTAGGTTCCAATCCCCTCCCAACTGTTGTTGTGGGGGATCGAACACGGAGAAGAAATAACATTAGGAAGATATAGTTCGGTTACGTGCTTTCATTCTCTGTTCGATGGAACTTCATAATTTCATATATACTATTAACCCTTGTATTAGCTTCCTTGAGAAAACTTTTTTTTTTTTCTCCTTTTCTTTTATCTTTTTTCTTTTTTAAGTCTTATTCCGCGTTTCTTTTTCTTCTAATCTATATCAAATAAAATATTACCTCCGTTTCATAAAATCTGCAACAAACTTGGTTGTACATTCCCCAAGACAAAATTTCTTAAGTAAAGATTAGTAAAAAAAAGGCCAAGTGATTAATTAGACGAGAGAGAAAATAAACACCACCAACACCCACCTTGTAACCACCATTAATATCTTAAACCCCACCACAACCATCCAAAACCCATCCAACCAACTCGCACCACCACCAATTGAAGCCCCATGTCACCAGCGACCACCAACGAACCCACCCAACCAACTCGCACGACCACCAGCGACCAGCCGACCACCTTACCAGCTCCAACAAACCGAAACCCCAACTAACTCACACGACCACCAACGAACCCACCCAACCAGCTCACACGACCACCAACGATCAACCGACCACCAACGAACCGAAACAACCACCTTACCACCTCCAACAAACCGAAACCCCAACAAACCACCATTAATTTAGATCTGAAACCCTAACTTACCACCACCAAGGAAACGAAACGACATCCCACCTCACCACCACAAAGATTTGAAACCCCACCTTACAACAACCTAGGGGTGAGCGTAGCAGGGTACCCTGTGAAAATCTTAGGACACGGAACCGGAACCTGTTGCAACAAGTTCTTAAAATTAGGAACTGAAACCAGAACCTGTTCAAAATTGAGTTCGTGGATTTACAAAGGTTCAACATGTATATGTTGCTTTGTTCATGTTCATTTAACTTAAGCAAGCTCAATTCATGTAGCCATGTAGGAGGTTCATAAATGACTCATTTATTAATCGAATCGAGTTCATACACAAGCTTTTCTTATAACAATCTTTGAACTTGTGAACTTTGTATATCTCAAGATTCAAAATAATAATCAATCCTAAAAATATAGTCTGCCACTTTAATCAATAGCTTATTAATACTAATAATTGTGGACAAGTCAATAATGCCTACTCCATATTAAACAAAATTTTCGAGTTCTTATAAAGAAGCATGCATGTTCACGAAAATAACTTTAAACGCTTTTGAGAGGGGTGACACATGATACTACAAAATTTCTTTGCTTTGAGTTTAGAAACATTATAAAACAGAGATGTAAGTATGAAACAGTCACTCAATTAAAAAGCAAAGACTGGCACAAAGAGATGTAAAAGAATAACTAGTATTTATAATAAATTACGAAAACAATCAATTAATCTGTTCTCTTAAATCTGACACCGTAATTCAAAATAAAATCATTTAAATATGTGATAATGAAACTACAAAAGCAAAAATAAAACAAAGGGTGTAAATCTGCTAAGAAAAATCTAATCACAGGGCAATTTAAGTTCTACTTGAAATCTACATCTCATATCATATACGAAGTATATCATTAAGAATCCCTGAAGTTCGTCTCATGTAATTGTTCCACTGTGAGTGTGGGTGGGTAAAAGGGAAAAAATGGTTAGACCTTTCCATCAAGTTCTGTAGAATCGGTTCCACTCTTTTGCTGCTTAGGCAACGAAAGACTTCGACGTTCTTTACCACCAGGTTTTGAGGAGGCATTGCCATACCAGATCATTCCTGCTACAGCTATGATCATACCCACAACCACATGTAAATTCAGACCCTCTTTTCCAAAGAAGATGAAGCCAAGAATCAAGACAAGGATTGTCTTCATGTGGCCGAGAACTTGAAAAGATACAGCTGTGAATCTGCCGATGCAGATAAACTGGCTAAGGTTTGTACCAATAGCAATTGTGCATGACAGAGTTATAAAGATCTGTGAAGACAAAGGAGCATATCATTAGCCAGAGAAACATATTATATTATGTAGAGTAATTAAACTAGCAACATCGCCTCTCATCATCTTTATTCAGGGAGACAATTGTGATTGTAAAATAACCAAATTCAGGGAGACAAGCTAGGTACAATTTAGTGGTGGCAAACATATTGATCGAAATACATCAGATTAAGGTCATAACAGGTGATGAGTCATTTATTTCAGTTTTGGATCAGTTTGGGTCAAATGTCAATTGGTTTATTATAAAAAAAAAAAAAAAAAAAATCAATATCAAGTACATTGGTTTCATAATTGGGTACATGTGCGGGTCAAACTATCAGGTCTAATACTAATGACATTCATAATTAAAAACTAGGCATGCTTTGGGCTTCAAATTTTCTTCAGTTGTTCAAAGGCAAGCAAGGTATGCCCAGAAGTGGAGAAGGATCCACTGTATCCCACACTCGAAAGCTGCAGGTTCAAGTCAAACACTCCAACAGTGGACATTGCATATAGAAAATCAAGGCACCGAGCAAGTTTCAGACCAATAAGGGAGACATGACTGAACTATAAAAGGATTATAATCCTTACCACAGATGGTAAAGTGTAGTTGAAAGCATCAATTCTCTTATTTGTTAACCAATAGTCAACGAATGGACCCAGTAAAAGCAGGGATCCAGCCTGTACTGGTGCAGTATGACCAAGCAGATTGAAAGAACTCAGCGAATACTTCTTTTGAAGATGATGTACATACTGCAACATAAGACAATAATAATCAGACAAAGCAAAACAATTTATAAGGTCACAACCACTATGGTGCAGCAACCAGAAAAGGTAAGAGGGGGCACAAAGATTTTAAGCACACTTCAATAGGTATCAAACACCTAGTTCAGCTAGAAGTGTTTCCTCTTATTGTTTTCCTCCTTTAATTGCCTCAGGATGGAAAGTGGGGAGAGGGCCCAATCTTAATTGCAACAAGTTAATATATTCAAAGTTACAGGATCCACTTCATTTCTACCAATATTATGTTACAAACTTACAAATATAAAGAATAAGCCGATGCATGAAAATCAAGAAGAGATAAACAAACCATGTAATATTTTCCCTCATATAAAAACACTCACCTAACTTATTGTTTTTGTGGACTGACAAAAGATTACTGTAGACTATCATACAATCAAAAAACTTTAACAGAAAAATATCTACAATATAGGTTGAATTGTTAAAACCAACCAAAAAGGTTCCATTAAATGATTTTACACCACTCCAAGGTAGTAATCCTACACCTCTATTTTATCATAATCAGAGGCTAAGAAACCTACAAAGCTTTGCAACGATTCTAGTCACTTCTCCATTGTTCATCCAAAGATAAGTCCTAACATTTTTATCAACCAGACAAAATCGAATGGGCAGTTGTGCCTGCATTCTTAACTAATATATTCCCACCCAATATTCAACATTCCAAATAGACTCCACATAACATAAGCCAAAATGAAAGCTAATTTTTTACTAAATTTTGTGAAACAAAATATATTTGTGATGTATAGTGCTTGAGAGGTTGAGATATAACCAAGTAGATGAGAAACATACAGCCAGCCAAATGCCAAACACTTGATTTCTGCCTAGCTTTGTTGACAAAAGGTTCAATTAATGGACGAAGGGGTGTTTTTGGATGATGTGCTCAAAGGATGGAAGAGCAACTCGCGGATATGTACAAGATGAAAGCAAACTAGTAATGAATCAAAAATCAATAGCTCAGAGTCATAGCCCCTTCTTCCAAAGTGCAGATCATTTTTGAGGATTATAAGAGGTTCAAGAGAAACATTTAAATGCAAAAGACTAGTTATGAAGTACAAAATAGCATACTCGCCTTCAGAATGGGGAGGCTGCATCCTGGAAAAGGTCACAAGTATACCACTAACATCTCAAAGTAAACTGCCAAAGGCTTGAGGTGTTTGGAAATAAAATGCATATAAAACCATTTTCACATTATTTTCATGAAAAGACACCTTTTCATTGAATGAACAGCCTCCATTCAGGTTTCTACTTATTCCAGAAGTTCTTTTGGTTTTGTCTTTCAAAATCACATCTTAGAAAAAAAACAACAGATCTCACTTCTTCAATCATAACATTAAACAGGAAAATGATCCTACCATCTTGAATCTCTTCATCTTATCAGCCAAGCTGAGGTTACAAATAAGAATCATCCAGGCCACATAAACAAAATGAAAAGAGTTGGAGATTATGTTGGTGTCACCTTACGTAAAAGAAAAAATCAAAACAGACCACCGGCAGAACCACATATATTTCATCCTCATCAAAATTACACCAGGCTCCTAATCTATAACTGAATGTCCAGGTGATCCTTCACCAGTTTAGAGTTTTCTGTACTCAAGTGTTGCAACATTGCAGGCATGTCAATATAAAAATTCAGTCCCAAAAGGATGGTTGTTACTGAAGATGACCAAACTATGAAAATTAAGGGAAATGCATTGCTTCAATGAGGAGAGACTGTGGCATGGCCTGTAAAGTCCAAAGAACTCGAACAATCAGACTTACGCACTTATCTATTCTTCTTTTTGGAGGTTTCAATGTGGGGAGGGTGCTGAATCTTGATGTCATAGCAGATCTGCAGATGAGTAAAGTAGAGGAAGGTGAAAGGAAAAGGCTGAATGTTATTCCAGAGGAAAAGAGCCGAGGAGAGGGGGGTGCACAATCCATAGCTTTCAACAATCCTATTGAAACTCTTAAAACTGTCTCATTTCAGATGAAAACCTCCTCTCTTTAACTTATGGCAAAGAACACTTCAGTTCTTCGAGAAGAATAAAAGGCTGAAACCACTACACCAGAATGGTATTTAGTTTTAATTTATTTTGATTTTGATTTGGAGCTAATGTGATTCAATCAAGAAGAAGAAAGCATTCTAAAAGTTATGATCAACTGGCATTGATAAACCAAAACAAAAGAAGATATGATGTATCATATGACAGGAGATCGGCATTGAAACTTATCCTCCATCCTTTCATCATTGAAATTTGTTATATAAATAAGAAGAAACGCTACATGCCTACATAAAATAGGGGGAAAGAATGGGACAGACAAGTATACGAAACTGATAAACAAACGTCATGCTAGATTCTTATTTAGAGCAAAATCTTCCAATCAGACTCACTTTACTGAGAATTAACAACAGTAAAAGCTGAGAACCTAATTACTCTAGAGATCATTAATATGCTATGTAACTTGGAACTTGAGGTTTGAGGCCAAGGATAAGGATCAGAATGGGAAAAAAAAAAAAAAGAAAAGAAGAAACATAAAACCAAAGCCTTAGTCCCAATAAGAATGGAGTGAGCTTCAAGAACTACGAATTCATCTAGTGGTCATCCACACACATCCTCTTCCTTCATGTGCTCTATATAGTGCTACATGCTCTTGCAAACCCACTTCATTTATGTCATACTTAACTCTCTCTCAATCCAAGTCATCTTTGGCCCATTTTTGAAATCTCTATTATGAATCCTTCCACTTCCTTACCAGATGCAAAGATGTGTGATTATTTGCATACATGAACATATGTGTAATCTTTAAATTGTAAGATATCAAGAGAGGTTTATACTTAATAGGATTAATAAAGGGACTAGACAATCTAAAGATAATATAGATTTAAAAAAAGAAAAAGAAAAAAAAAAGAAATTTAATTAATTTATCATGAAATTTTAAAAGTATGTACTGAATTGTTTTTATAAAAAGTATATTCTTCTACAAAAAAAAAAAAAAAAAAAAAAAAAAAAAAAAAAAAGGGTAGAAAATTGCCCCCTCTCCCAACTTATAACATTCCACCTATTTTTTCCCTAATCAAAAATTAAAATGCATCAAATTCAGGATACATGTATCATGTACTTCCTCTATTCTTTTTTAATCGCAGCGTCTGAATTTTACACTAGTAACACACATTTTTATCATCTTTTGTGATTTATATGTTCGAAAAAATAGTCATGTAGAATCTTCTTCGATTTGTCTTGAAATATACGAAGTGCTTTCAAAATATCATCTTTTTATATTTTGTACTAAAATATAATTTAAGATACAAATGTTATTAATGTAACGTTGCGATTACAATAGAATGGAGGAATCATTAACTTCTTGAACATTACAAGTCATCATAATTTAGTGGGACCTCAATCTTGCGCTTTTGACAGCAAGAGCACACATAAAACCCTATCCACCAATTTCTTTTCCTTCCTTTACCACTTTATGTACAACCATAATCATAGAGAGAGTGCTAGGGCTAGGGAGGACTGAGGTGGGGGGAAAGAGATCCCAAACTTCATCAAAAACCCTTTAACACAAAATAAAACCCACACACAATTATGCAAATAAAAATAGACCCATCTCGAATATACAGACACCAATGTCAATGTTCAAGTCAAAAGTTAAACATCCATTATTAATAAATGGGATAAAAACACTAAGATCATAGGTTGTATCCCTCAATTCTAGCTGCTTACCATTCAAAGAGTAATTCCTCTTAGACTAAAATCCATAAGATAATCTTGAATTTAACAACCATAGTAAGGGGGTATGGTGGTATGAATGCACCTCTCATCATTAATGCTCCTCTTTACTCTGATTCTGTTGCCCTAATTAAAGTCAATTTCCCCTTAACCGTCATTTTGGCTGACTAGTAGTTCTTTATTTACCTCCTAAAACTTTTCCTGTTTTCCATACCAATCAAACATCACTTATGTTCATCTAAAAAGCAAAAGTATTTCTATTCCATATCTAGCTACCTATGGAAATGAAATTTTCAACATTTTACAAAGTATGGGAACTAAAGAAAAGATTCTCACAAGCATAGATAGCAATGCCGGTCAATATATTTTGTTTTTGTATTGCATGTCATAAAACATTAAGGGATTAATGTATTCTAATGGATCAAAAAAAATTGTACAAAAGTCCAATATTAAAGCATGACAAGGCATCAACAGACGGGCGTTGAATCAAAAAAACAGGCCTTATGATCCAACTCAGGGATTTTCAACCAAGCATCCAGTACGTTTTAACCACTATAAATATGTAAATTGCACAGAAGATGGGCACCATATGAGCTAGTTTAAACAGAGTGCCACCTAATGAGATTTCTGATTACATTTCATTCTAACACTAAGAGGCTTTCTTCATCATTCTTGTTCTACCTAAATCCCTCTGATGTACACAAAAACGTCTAAATTCTAAGATAAGCAATCATTTTCTAATTTCCGCGTACGGGAATGCTGAAAAGGCCGCCTAAGACATAAATATCAATTAGATGCAACACACACAATAAAACAAGTACAAGAATTACAGTGGTAATAAAGTGAATATCTATCAAATCCCCTTTTCCTTCATATAATCTTTAAAGAAGAGCTAACTGGAAAATACACAAGAACCCAAAAACTTACATATTGCTGCAGAGAAGTGCTCCAAACTGCAACCAAAGCAGCAATAAAACCTTTGGTATTTACACTGACATCAGTAACTGTGCATACACCAACACCTACAAGAACAAGTCCTATGCTGAGCTTCGTATCTCTGGAGTATCGAACTTTATCGAGCACAATCTCCAACAAGCAGGATACAGGAATCATACTCAATTTAGCAATCTGCAAAAAAGGTACAAGTTCCTTCTTAGAAATGGAATAACAGCTACAAAAACTGATAACAACAGCTTTAAAAGCAAGACAAAACTAAGAGCAACAAAAATTCACCTGATAAAATCCTACTGAGTTCCACATAAGACTAACATTCATGCCCACAATGGAAAAGTTAGCAAATAAAACAAATCTCAGCAGATCTGGCAGTGGCAAATGAGAGGGTTGAATATATCCAAGCCATCTGAGAACAAGTGTCATTATAGTTGTGGCAGTAAAGTGCAATCCCGTCAATGTAGTAGCTGCAACATTAAATGGAAATTTTAATCTTTCAGACTAATGATTGAATCTCCAAAATTAAAAAGAAATTTAGCAAGCATGTCATCTGAAGTATGTGGAAGATCAAGCTTATCTAAAACCTGAAAAATACATTGGAACACAAAATGAAGTTGCCAGACGCTAGCTAATTAATGCCATACTATTAAGGTCTAAATTCATGCTTTGCAATTCTGTTCCCAACTTCTCTGCCTTTTCCATCACCAACCTTCTAAAGGTAAAGTGAAGGGAGCATGGATAATTCATTACTTTATAGGGCCAATAGGGGATATCTAAAGTAATTATTCTTGAACATAAATTTGTATAGACAATGTCAGTGTTTAACATGGATACAGTGTCAAATGATGACTGGCCTGCAAATCAGTAAAACATTGTGCAACAAAGTGGATTTTAAACCTCATCTGTAAAAAATTACGATGTTGTTTCCAAGAATTGTACTTATAAATTAATAATACAAGTAATGAGTAATATTGTAGTGCATAATATTAAGCTTAAGAATAGTTACCAAAACTAAACCCATATGTGGCCATCAGAGCTTTATTGACAATAATAATTCCCACTGATGTGACAACATTGAACATCCAAGCAGATGCATCAACAGCTGCTTTCTTCTCTGCCTTGGAACTTGGAGCCATTTCTTCTTAATTCTTGAACAAAACAAAATGCTCAGTCTTTGACTTTAGTTATACGATACACACCATTTCTAGTACAGAAGCAAGTCCTTATGCTTTACCACAACATCTCTGCAAAGAGCAAAATACATATTAAAATTGGAAAGTGGCATATAATATACTACCAATAGTAGCATCACTTTCTACAATACCAAAAGGCTTAACTACTAGTATACTAGTCTTACTATTAGCGTTAGTACTGCTCGTTTACTAGATAGTCCCTTCTTTTTTGAATGTGTGATAATGTATGAGCTTTCATAAACCTCTCTATGACTATCAGATATGGGTAGCTAAAGGCAGGGTTGCAAAGATCTCAGACTCACCACAAGTGGAATCCAAAGTGGGGATTGTTGACATTGACAGTCAACAGAGAAGAACAAATTTAAAGAACTTAAAGGAATAGACAGTGTGTTAGACCTTCTCACACTAATTACCTTCTCACAATAATTTGTTGGAGACATCAAAAGTTACCCCAATAGAAAAAATATAATATAGGTCGCCCTTAGTTATAGAAAAGATGATCTCAGTCTCATACTGTGGAACTGTGCCACACAAAAATTCATCAGCAAAAAGTCTACTCCCGGTGCATTAAATGAATGCTACATAACTGCATAGAGATATGCATCATTATCTGGAAATTTAATACAGTTCCCTAGTTTCTAGTGTCAAAGAAATCCCTTTAAGTAACGATCGCGATAACAAGAGACACAGAAAAGCTGAGGATAACAACTGTAAAACCTTGACCCTCTTCATATGCCTCTACAGAAATAGATACAACAAAGTGGTGATATTACAATTCAACATAAAGACAAAATGCCGAATAAAGAAAAAATAGGGTAAAATTTAAAAAGTATATTTCCGAAATTTATGTCATTAAAGTGAATCCAACAACATTTTAAGAAAATTTCACTGGTAAATTAGTTCATTGTTCAAGACTAAATTGTTATTCTTGTATCCAAGCAACTACAAACAGCCAACCAATCCAGAAGTCAGGATCCATGTTCAACAGCGATATGTGTATAAAGTAGATATCCAATATTTAAAAAGGAAAAAAAATGAAGAACGACAAACGAACAACTAAGGGCTTGTTTGACATTGTTTTTTGTTTTCACTTTTCGGTTTTTAGAAAACAAAAACCAAAAACAGGAAAAAAGAAAAAGGTGTTTCCACTATTCTGTTAGTTTTCAAAATTATCACGAGTTTAATAAATTTTTTATTCATTATATGACACATATCATATGATTTTGAAAAACAAAAAACCACAATGATGCCAAACGAACCCTAGTCTAGTATTATATAGCACACTAAAAGTCTTATTTATGTAATTTAATACAGTTTTAACTTGCACCAACATAATTATCATGTGACAGCAAAGGGTCTATGTTACGAAGTTACCAGTAAGGTGCATCACAACATAGATTGCGTAAAATGAAGATCTAAGACATTTCCATATCGACAGGTTCTCTAAGACCAACTTAGCTCAATATAACTCTCTCATCAACCGTCATTCCAACTCAAGCCCAAAGTAAAATTCCCAAAGCCAGTTAAACTCTAGCTCTCCACCTCCCACTAACAGACCTTGAAGAGGCCATGGTTGAAAGACAAATGATCAAGTCCTCCTAAGTTCTAACTAGATTTGACAAGATGTATAAAGTGCTCAATAGGTGTTCAGCAACGATTTTCCTTTAGGCCCACGGCTAACACCTGTTTCCCCTTTATTGGTGCGACACAAAAGCAAAACATACATTGAAGTTCCTTGTGACACAAATCTAGACACTTGAGTTTCTTTATAGCCCATTGAACAAAACCATACTTCGGAAGTTCGGATCCAGATTACATATAACCCAATCCAACTACTCCCTACACAACAAGAAATACAAAAATCAAATCTTCATCCATCACTCAAGGATCACCACAAAATTAACATCCCAATACTCCTCGAGTAATGTAAACATCAAAATCAACCATAATTAAGCCGGGTTGCATCATATAACTCGGTACTTCGTAAGCCTATCTGAAAATCACTCAATCTACTGAACCTTGATCTTCCAATCGAGTAAGACAAATATCCATTAAACAAAATCAAAGTTTCCAGATTTTTGCTCCACAAATCCCAAATAACAATTCTCAAACTTACTTCAGTAAATCACCAGAAACTTTCCCAGATTAAGTAAATCACCAATCAGAAACTCCAAAAATAAACCACTCATTTGCACATAATCAATAGAAATTCACAATCCACATCAAACAAGCTTAAATCTTTGACATTTTTGCACTACAAATCACTGATACAACTAAAATTACAAACAATAATTAAAAAAAAAAAATTAAAAAAAAAACCCAGAATAAGTAAATCATCAATTCACAAAGCCCAAATCAAAATTCACGATTGCACTATATAGTAATTATACCATATAGTACAACCCAGAAACCAAAAGGGATTGTAAGCAAAAACAAACCTTAAAAATTGTGAAGTGCAAACTGCAATACGAGTAGTAATTAAGAGTTAACTCTGTAGATCTGTGACAAAGGAATGAAATCAATCAAGGGAAATGTCGGAAATAATAAATGAATTGATTGAATCAAGAATTTGATTGATCGATCTCGATTTTGTGAAATTAATAATCTCTGGAAATTCTGTGCGTAAAATCACAGTTTCACAGAGAGCAATGGAGTAAAGAAGGAAAGAGGAGAGAGAAAGTGTAAATAAAGAGTAAAAGAGCGAATGATATTTTGCACGAAGTCGACAGTGAGTCTTCTTTTCTTCGCTGGATGGAGGCTTTGGTTGGTTGTACCACTTTTTTTTTGGGTTCGGTGAATTGATTCTACTGCAAACATTACCGAGTCGACATAAAAAGGAAAAATTAAAACTAATAATCCTACATTTGGCTCATCTTCTCCAAATAATCCTATCTTTACGTATTCTGAAAATAATACACTATATTATTTTTTTTTTCTTTAATCCCTCTTCTCCCAACTCACCCCCTTCATCCATGTCAAACACCATGACCACCACCCATCTATCACCGCCACCACATCATCACCCTAACTACCATGGCACCACCACCTTGAACAGCAGCCCCACACCCACCCTCACACCGAACACCACCCAGAAATACCGGAAACCCAACCCCCACCACGAAACCCACCCAGCCACCTCTAAAGCCTACCCTCCCGCCTCGATTTCCCAACCAGCCACCCCTATAACCCACACTCTAACACTTAAAACCTACCCTCGACCTCGAAATACTACCCAGCCTGACCGAAATCCCACCGGATCGAAACCCCATCGAAACCCAAGCTTGAGATTAAATGGGGTAGCAGGGGAAGGGGGAATTGAATAAATCAAAGCAAAACATCTCAATTTCACTATTCTATTCATTTTAAACAAATATAATATTTAGAATGGGGATAGTGTAGCAAGTAGAAGAAAGAGAGGAGGAAGAAGACGGATTACTGACTTTTTTGTTGCAGGTGGGTGTTCGGGAAAGGGGAATTTTGTTTTTTGTTAGGATGTGGTGGTGGTGAATTGGGTGGGAGGGAATTAAGGGGGGCGGCTGGCCGGCTGGCCGGCTGGCTGTGCTGGCTAGGTCCGGCTGGTCCGCAGCGGCTGATCCGACGAGGGAGGGGCTCCGGTAGGGAAGGAAGAAGAAGGTTTATTATAAAAATATCCAATTAGAAGCAACATGTGGGAAAAATACCTTCTAGTCTTCTACAGAGGTTATCAATTTCACTAAAAAGTAAAAGGCTCATTTTGAGAATTTTTTTTTTTATGGGGTATAAAGGTGGGATTATTTCCGCAATACGTAAAGGTGGGAATGTATTGAGAAGATGAGCCATAGGTACGATTATTAGTTTCAATTTATCCTTAGTAAAACTAATAACTTTGCCACTAATATCTTTAATGAGATATTAGTAAAACTATAGAATAAAAAAATTAAGGGAAATTCTTTTTGGTAAACTCGAACTTTTTTAATTTTCACAATAGTAAACGTTAAAAAAAACTTACTATTTAACAATTCATTGGTAACATTAATGATATAATTAGCTGATCCCTTAACCATGGTTAGCCTTTAAAATAAATAAAAAAACCGAAATAACTTAAAAGCCCCTAATTACTACCCTCAACCTATTATGTCTAATTAGAAGGTACAGTAAACCAACTCCCCAACACCGGTGCTGCTGCGTGCACCACCTCGCCACCTCCATCACGCATCTCCAACAATAACCAACTGTTGCTCTTCTCAAACCCTCGCAACAACCTGCGAACACCAACACCCGCAAGCAGAGCACCTCACGCCTAGCCACAAGCATCCCACGCCACACAGCCGCTTTGCCGCATTGTTGCTGCGCGCGCAACGAAGTACCTCACCCGCAGCCCGTACCTAGAAATCGAGGCAGGAACTTCTTAATTTTCGAGACCCATCTCAATTTCACTACATTATATTAAACCTATTCAAATACATTCGCAAGAAAAAGAGGCTGATTTGTAGAGCTTTGTGTGCGCGAAATAAGGCAAATTTGTCGCATTTGGCGTTTAGGGTGGCATGGAACAAGAGAAGGGAGCGTTTTTGGGGAAGGGGAGGCTAGAGGGGTAGGATATTGGCGAGGGAGGTGAGGAGGAGAAATGGGAATCGGATGTGAGGGAGTCAGGGAGGGTTGTTGGTCGCGGAAGGGAGGGAGGGGTAAGGGATCGCCGGTGGAGATGAGGAGCTTAGCGCCGATGGCTAGGGAGGGGGTTAGGTGGTGGTTGGGTGCGTGGGTGAGGGGATTGTTTTTTTTTAATATAATATTATTATTAAAAAATAATAATTAACCATGGTTGGGCTTAAGTTGACTAGGATTAGGCTTATAATTGCATATAAACATCACTAATGTCACCATTTGACTATTATAGTTAATTAGAGTTTACCATTAATAATAAATCTTTTTAACGTTTACCACTGAGAAAATTAAAAAGTTCGAGTTTACCAAAGAGAATTTCCCAAAAATTAATTTCTAAAAGTAGACATTGTACTATGAATATTGAATAACATACTACATAATCAAATCTATATATTATACATTAGTAAATATAAAAATAAAATAAAAAAAATAAGTCAAAAATAACAAGTGCAAAATCTCAAGTATAGCATTTTAAAAAATGGATGGAGTACGACTTGATTAATAAAATAAAAGGTATGTGATTAAATGAAGAAGAGAGAAATCAAGATGATTGATAATTCACTGGTAATCCAGTACCCACCCGCCCAACCCAACCCAACACCTTAAACGCCACCTACACTCGAAACCCTTCCAGCTCACCACCACCAACTGCCTGAAACCCACCAACACCCTACCAACCACCCAAAACCTAGTCAACCCTCCTCAAAATCACCTCCCAATCAGGCAACCACTTAGAAAAATCCACCATCATGAATCCCACCATATTCACAACCTGAATTAGCCCTAAAAAGATGAACAAATAAATTAATGCAAATTATACCATATCTCATCATTTGTTTGGGTATTTAATGGTCTCAAATGATCAAGAAAACTTTAGAATTTGATTATTAAAACCTCAAAAAGTTGAGCTATAATTGCAGCGATGAAACAAAAAGAGAAGGAAGAAACAGAAGAGAATGGAAATGGTGGTTTAATTTGCTTAGTAAGGAAAAGATAGGCGGCGGCGATTATCCATAGCGACAAGAAGGGGTGTACACAATCTGACTCAGACCTTAAACCCGATCTAAACCGAACCTGTTTGGATTGGATCGGACCCGGACCGGTAAATTCAAGTCCAGTCCCGGTCCTCAATAAAAGAGGTTTTCGGTTTTTAGGTTCGATCTGGGTTAAAACTGGATTTTTCAGGTCCAAACCTCAAAACTTGTTTGACTGTAATTTTTTTTTTATATAAAATTTGCCTTTATATTCAATTTTAACCCTGTATGTCTAACGAATTAATAGCGGCCGCCAGCCAATTCCTTATTTCATATTACCCTCTCTCTCATCCTCCACGTACTATAACCACCGTCAACCACCACGCCCCTACGCTACTGACCCATATAGCGGTGCTGCTCACCTATTGTCCCTACTATGGTGCTACTTCCCTGCGATGGTACGCCTAATAGATATGTATTTCTCTTTTTTATTACTTGTTTAGTATGTCTTTACATAATATAAACAATTTGGGATTAAATTTCTATGTATTTTATTACTTTAGACTCATATAGTATTTCCATTTTTTTATGTGAAGTTTTTGAATTTTTATTTATTTTTTTTAATATAATTTTATTTTTTGCGAATTTCATTTATGTAATATATTTTTGAATACGTATTTTTCATATTGTATGTGTAAAAGGTAAATTATCTAATTTCATATTTATTTTTCATATTATGTAGCATTAATGTAAAAAAAAAAAAAAAAAGGCAACAAATTAGGTCCATCAAGTCTGGATCGAAATCGAACCAGGTGATTCAGGTCTGGTCTTGGGTCTTCAAAAACAAGATATTCCGGGTCTGATCCAATACTGTCCCGGTTCGGTCCAGTTATGGACCGGTGTACAACCCCAGTGACAGGAGGAGAGAGAATGAAATGGAGAAGGTAAGTGAGTTCATAAAGAAGAAGAAGAAGAAGAAGAAGAAGAAGAAGAAGAAGAAGAAGAAGAAGAAGAAGAAGAAGAAGAAGAAGAAGAAGAAGAAGAAGAAGAAGAAGAAGAAGAAGAAGAAGAAGAAGAAGAAGAAGAAGAAGTAGTAGGGGAAGAAGAAGGATATGATCAATTGTGGTTGATTGCGTAGGAACTTTTGTAATATATTTCGTCATTTCACGAATCATATTCGTTCGCACCTAATCAAGATCAACATGCATAGCACATAAAAATCCACATAATTCATACCTTTGACCATGATTTCTATGAAAGATTAACTACGAACTTGTGAAATAGAACCTCAACCAACATTCCTAAACTTGGTCCATGGGCTAGGATTATTGTTGATTGATTATTAATTATTACAGATAAATCTGAGTAGGTATTCATTTGATTTTGATTTGAAAAGATGGGGTGTTGTTTTCGGCTATTAGGGGTTTTTTTATGATGATGATGATTAGGTGGGTTTTCGGAGCTTTGGGGAATTCAGGGTGGGTAGGGGTTTTTCGGGGTGTTTTGTAGTGTTTTTGGGGGTGTCTAGTGGTGTTTGGGGAGTTTTCAGCGCAGCAGGGGGTGGGGCTAGGGGTTTCGAGGCGATAAAGAGGTGGGGATTGGGGCTTTAAGGTGGCAGGAGGTGGGGTGGGGCTGGAATGCACCTCTCGCGGCAGTGGAGGGTGGCAGCAAAGGGGGAGTTAGCAACATGCAACAGATTGGGGTGGAGAGCAGTTTAGGTGGCAAGGGATTTTGGGTGGTGGTTATGGTTATGGGTGTATACAAATTGGTCTGGACCTGAAAATCGACTTGAACTGTTTGGACCTAAGTAAGCTGATACCCAAAGTTACCAAACATACGTGAGTAAGCTGATACCCAAAGTGACCAAATCGATTTAAGCCCGAATTTATAACTTGAACAAACCCCAATCTTGTACGAAGTAATAATGATGATAACAATAACAACGATATTAACACTAATAATTATATTTCCTAAAAATTAAAAAAGCACTAAAATTTATAAATTTACTGATTTGAATATGAACCAAACATGACTAGACCCGACCTTAAACCGAACCAAACATGACTCGACATTTGAACCTGAAAATTAACCCGACCTGAATTGTAAACATTATACCCAACATGACCGAATTATATGTTGACCCAAAATCTACCTGAAATCCAAATTTGACCTAACTTGGTCGATGTTTGCTGGGTCTTATTAATTATTGTGGACTTAGTCTTTTCACCTGAAATAAGGTGATATGAGATGAATATTTCTGATCTGGTATGATTAATTATAATCAAGTCAAAAATCTGACATAAGTTGAAGGAAACAAGTTCTATAAATATTCTGTGGTGCAGATTGATGAAATAAAGTTGTCAAAAGTTTCATTAAGGGTATGTTTGGAATTATGTATTTCCTAGATGTTCTCAACACTCTCTAAACAACAATAATTAATGCTAATTTCCTATTCAATTCCCAATTTTGAATTTTCATCTCACTTTATGAGCCCTAAATTCCCATTTCTATTTATCAAACACTCCTAATATCTATCTCCATCTCAAATCTCTGCCTCAATCTTCTATTTCAAACAATAAGTTTGGCTACAAATATAGTTTTGGATAAAGTTGTAGTAGAAACTTATACTGCTTATTTATAGCTACGCTGATGCTAATAATGATATTTTTGACGAGGATTGTATTTGTTACTTAAGCGTCACTGCATTGACGTATAAGGTTTGGGTTTATTGATAGTCTCTGGGTAAATGTAAGAGATGGGAGATGGTTTTGTGATAACATTATATTTTAAAGATCAACAAATGTATGGATTAGATACAACTTTAGTTGAAATAATAACACAATATATTTCAACTGCAGGAACGATTACAAATGTTTTGGGACGGATATAAGTTCAATTGACCCTATTTATTAATTTATTTAACATTAAACTATTTAATATGAGAAATATGATATATAATATATGACTAATTTATCAATACCAATAATTATATGGATCGACAATGTGCAATATAATATATACGTAGTTTCACGTAATTTGTTAATATATAAATAATTTTATTATAATTTGTTTGATTTTGGTTTTATTTGAACCCATTTGTAATTTAGATTTCTATGACAATCAAATTATCACACTCATTACAGATGCAATTTGATTAATTTATGTGGACAACTTGAACTTTTGATTAGACGATTTGTTTACCAAATTAATGTTGTCGATCGGACGACCTTTACTCTTTTTTTACAAATGTCGTTTGTTTAATTCATCGGACAACTCAATCTTTTGATTAGAGGATTTGTTTACCGAATTAGTGTTGTTGATCGGACCCTTCCTTTTTTTTTTTTACAGATGCCGTTTGATTAATTTATCTGGACAACCCGATCTTTTGAGTAGAGAGTTTATCTACCGAGTTAGAGTTGCCGATCGGACCATTCTTGTTTTTTGCCATGTAATATTACATTTATGCACAAATATTCATTCATATTGTAAAAGATTACAATGGATGTGTATCATACCATCGGACATCACCACTTTTGAGTTGCAAATGGATTAACATTTAGATGACTTATTTAGCCATTTTTCTTCACATAACTACATGACTAAAAATTTAATAAGGATGCTTTAATTTTCAAGTGACAAACCAGATCTCGCTCACTTCTGCGATATTGTGACGCCATTTTTGCCGGCGATTACTAGGATGCGTAGACATTATAAAACCCGACCTAAGACTATCCTTCGTTGTCCAAAGTCGAAAGCTAATGAGTCTAATCTTCAAATAAAAAAAATCAACCATGAAATGTAAATCTCCAAATTGCACAACTAACTACAAAGCCACCATTAATGCCATCATTAACGTTCATGAATTGAGGGAAGAGAAAGAGAGAAAAAGCGGGAGGATAGGAAAATGAGCAAAGGCATGCAGTGGAAGAAGACACAAGGGGACAAAATTTTGAAAAGCAAATGAGATAAAAGAGAAGGAAAAAGAAAAGGGGAAAAAAGAAGAGCAACCAAGGGCAGTTTCGGTAGTTGTTCATAAGCTACAGTAACTTAATTCCCATATTTTAGGATTTAGGGATTGTAATGGAAAGAAGAATTAGTAAAAATGATGGATTTACCACAAAAAGTTTAATGGTTTTTTCACGAAATACCCCTAAAGTTATCACTTAATTCACCATATATACTCATAAGTCTCACGAAAATGTCGCCAAATGTCTCGTTAAGATTCTGATCAAGGTCAAAAGTGACAAAAAAATTATTGAAAATGCCTCGTTTTGCGACCTAAAAATACTCCAGTTTGCGTGACCCATGTAAAACAAGGCATCTTCGATAATTTTTTTTTGTCAATTTTGACCTGCCCATTAAGGCTAAATTGACTGAAAGCCTCCACAGAACATGGTTTTGCAAGAAAATCAAAGATTTTTTTTTAAAATTGTAGATTTAACATTTTTTTTACGGAAACCGGTGACAATTTTTTTTTATTTTTATAATTTTTTTTTAAAGAGTTGGCGTTAAAAACCAATTTTGTGTTTTTTTGGTATTAAAAGTAAATTTCTCCAATTGTATAGTAACCCGTAAATTGTTTTCCAATAATTAGAATTTTCAATTGGGGGTTAAATTAAAGCAATTTCATTCAATTTATAAGGGGCTTTTGCTCGATTTATCATTTTAAAGACAGAGTAAGCTTCAAATTGAATTATTTTTTTGGTGTTTTTGAGATTTTTTTTTATTCGAATCCCATTTTTTAGCGTTGTAAAACAAAAAACGACGAAGGTGCTATGCCTTGCACCTTGGAAGAGACACATCGAGGCACACCAAGGAGCGCGCTTTCTGTAAGTAGTTAAGGTCCGTTTACTGGCGCTCTTTGTGACCCTTGTGCCTAAGTGCGCCTAAGACACATTTTTTAAAACTAATCAAGTTGTCGACAATGGTGGAAATGGCAGTGATTGGGGAAAGAGGAGGAGGAAGTTTCAATGGAGAAAAGAGGAAGGTTCAAAGGAGGAGGAAGGACCGAAGGAAGAAAGAGATGGATCTATGTTTTGAGTGTGGGTTGCGTTGTTAACTTGATTACAAATACAGTTGGTTATACCTTGTCTTACTCATATATGTTATTAGCGCATATTTTCTTTGCTATCCTTTTTGATTACATGAAAATATCCTTTTAAAACCTTATTTAGACGATTCTAATAAGATTCTACATGATCATATTTTTCCTTACATATAATTCACGAAAGACGGTTAAAGATGGGTTGATGAATAGTATAAAAGCCAAAGTGAGTCAAGTAAACAAAACGGAGAGAAAATATATATTTAGTACTTATGTTTTATTTCGTTAATTATAAAGAGAGATAACTCAAGTGATTAGATTTTTTTTGTTGGCTCTAGGAGATCCAGCAATTCCGGTTCTTATTTTTCTCTCAAAAACTCGTAACTACGAGTGGTTAAATCTTGGTTGCGGCGAGCTCTAAAGACTTATCAATGCCGACGGAGCTTGAAGAATTGCTGGATTTTTTATCTGCCCCTTCTCCTCCGGTAAGTTTCTCAACCAAAACCTTGTTTATTCTTTTATTTTTTCTTCAATCAAACTTTATTCACCTAACAATTTAGCGAAATCAATCTATTCTGTATTTTTGGATGTACCCTTTTGCTAAATTAATCAGCTACAATCTTCTAAAACATAGAATTGTAATAAAATAGATTTTTATTTTTAAAGGCTGTCAAGAAGTCTTCGGATTTGGCTGTCATGTTATAAATATGTGAGAAAAATCTAGTAGTGAAAAACCCTTTAATTGTTAGCATACTAGAATGTTTTGACTCAGGTGCAAGCGAGGTAGCTTAGATAATTGGTTAAGCATATGGGAGTGGTGCCAAGGATTTGGGATCTAATCCCGTCTACATCATTGCCCATGGCGGCTCCCTATACACCAATAACCATAAGCTGGAAACCATAGTAGGTTTTGTGGTTTATATAGAGGCAAAGTACTCAGGCTGATGTCAAAAACTTTTCTTTTTAAAAAATATGGCAGTAAATAAATAAGGGGAGGAATAGGGAGGTTTTAGAAGGTAATTTGAAGCTACATTGGTGTGCAACAGGCTGCAAGGAAATGTTGTAAGAGGCAATAAATCTTGTAAATGTTGGATTGTTTGATCTTTTTGGCGCTTGTGTAAAGTACCTCACGAGTCGACAGGCACCTGAGTTTTTGATTCAGATACTTTATGCTCTCTTGGGATTGCGAAGCCAACATCAGCCAGGATATAATATTGGGATACCTCAAAAAGTTATGATAAGACAATTAATGTGTGATGGAGGTGGAAGTAGCATGAACATATAATTTGTTGTTGAATTTGAACAATTGAACTTGAGCATATAACTTGAACTTGCAATTGAATTTCAAGGAACTATCTTTTGATTTCCTTGAGGGGCCTTTGATGATGCTATTTTGTTATTAATTTTGAATTTGTTCTCAGTGTTTCCAGTTTTATTTTATGTGGCTCCTAAGAACCCGTTATAAAATATGCAGGTGAAAAGGGCCGCTGTGGACATTGTTCGTAGCTTAACTGGGTCTGAAGATGGTATAAAGTCCCTTGCCCAATATTCCAAAGTGGTTCTGCAGAAACTATCTGACCTTTTGGGGGATCCAAAGGTGAAGTGAACTTCTCCCTCGACTCTAAGACTTTAACTTTTTTGTTTAGTCCTCTTGGAACTAAAGCTTGCTTGGTGTATTGTGAATAGCTAAAATGGAGCAATTGAAGATAACTCTCAAGTTGCTTTGGAGATTATATTGAAGAATTGACCAAATTCTAAAATCTAGAGCATGAGTCCACTTCTGAAATACTCAATTGTTCATGTTATCCTCTATATAAAGGGTATACATGGTCATTGTTAATGATAGTTGAGTTATTTAGGGAGGGTTGTGAAGATGCATAATCATAGTGTTATAAACTCCTCTATAAATAAAAGAAAGAATAAAAATGGTTGGGAAATGTGAATAGTCCAGTTTGTCAGCTTTGGTAAACAATGGTATCTTATTTTCTGCCCCAGTCATTGGTATGTTGTTTTCAATGGGCTCATGGTCATCTTATGTTGTTTCTTAGTTACATTCTGTTTATTGGGCTTAATGTTCTGTGCTTCTGTCTGAGAGCTACGTATTTTGTTTGTATATTAGGTAAAACATAATTTCTTATCATGGTGTCTCACGTTAAGTCATTAACTGTGTTGTAAACAATAATTTTGCAGTGAAATCAGTCATATAGTACTGTTTAAGTGTATGTATGAGGCTTACTATTATTCTAATTGCAGGAAGTATCAGAACCTGCTGCAGAATCACTTGTAAATTTATCACAGAATTTAGATCTGGCAGGCCAGATGGTATCTATAGGAATGGTTAAGAAAGCCATGGACCTCTTATATAAGCCTGAGTCTGCTATTCGAAGATTGCTGGTTATGCTTCTAGTAAATCTTACTCAGCTGGATGCTGGTATTGCTTTCTTACTTCAGGTGCTTTGAGTTAATTTATGCTGTTGTCACCAATGTTTTATTTCAATTCATTATCTATTGTTGGATTGATTCAAAGTAACTATCTATTTTTTAGGTGCATGCGTTAGTTAATTGGAGTAAATAAAGATAGTGGCTAATTATGTGGAGTTTATTTTGATCAGTTTACACATAGTGGATTAAGCTTTAGTGGAGTAGTGGTTTCCTTATGTTTAGGAGTGATAGTTTATCAGCTTATTTAAAGGGTTGTTGGGTGTATTTCATTTTATGTAGAATAGCAATAATATATTAAACATTATTTAGTTTTGCTCTTTCATCTTCTTCTTTCCCTTCTCTCATCTCTATTTCTTATTTCAACATGGTATCAAGAGCTCCAGGTTAGATCCGGGAAAAAGAGAAGGGAAAGAGATGAAGAAAAAGAAGAAGAAAAAAAAGAGGGAGAAAGAGAATATTAAAAAAAAAAAAAATCTCTAAGAGGGACAAACAACGCAACTTGATTTCATTGATTGTTTGTGAGCAATAAGTTTTTTTTGAGAGAAATTTATTTTGTAAGTGAGTGTTTTTTATGTTTAACCATGGAAGTAATGGTTGGTTTGGTGTGGTGATGGGTTCCCTTTTAGCCCGTTAAATTGGATTTTACTCAAGAGGGCCGAAATTTGTTTAAGGTAAAGATCGCATAATCTTTACGAGTGTGAAAGTCACAGAGTTGGTTTCCAAGATAATACCAAAGATTTTTTGTAGAAGCAAGTTGACATGGTCAATTGGAAGACATATAATGTCAATGAGAGTTAATGGAGAAATGTGCTTCATTAAATGTAAGATGGTGAAAATTTTCGAAGTGCATCAACAAAAAAAAAAAAAAAAAGGTTTGGTTGTGCAGAGAGAAGTGCTCTGAGAATACCATGTTTGTGATAATGTGCATCAACAAATTATGTGTAGGTGACGAGATGTGCATCACAAATTAAAATGTCTAGCAAGATGTTATGAAATTCGAAATGGAAGAGAGCCAGCTCTTTTAAAGTTAAGTGTGCGGCTAAGTGTTCGTGTTGAGATAAAAGTCGGTAACTTCAAGTTCAAGTCCATGGCAATATGGAATGTTGAAGTTAGCAAAGTTTAGTCGAGTGTATGAGACTTTGAATCAAGGGGGAATGTTGGATTGATTCAAAGTAACTATCTATTTTTTAGGTGCATGTGTTAGTTAATTGGAGTGAATAAAGATAGTGGCTAATTATGTGGATCACCAACTAATGACTTTGGAGATGATGGGGTTTGGTTTTATTGCTTTTTTGGTGGGTGAGGATCTTTATGATAATACTTTGCTTGCTTCCAGGTTGAAGATGAGAAAGTGCAGGGGCTTAATGTGATGAAGCTTGTGAGGTCGTTTTGTAGATCTCCTGATGGGAGCAAAGGTTTGTTTGATTAGTTTGAAGCTGGACGTTAATTTTTATTCACAGTTATCAATTTTAGCAAAGAGTTAGCATGGAGCAATAAATCTTATCCTTGTCTCTTTAGAGTATAGAAGTTTGATCTTGCCCAATGAGTAGATCACCAACTAAACATGTCCATTCTATACAACCAATAAAATTTCCAAATACTGTTGAAGACTACTCTAGTTGTGGAAGTAGGACAAAGTTTAAATTATTAGGTTGTGTGCGCGCATGTGAGTTTGGATGAATGATCATACAGACATAAACTGGATATAAGTAAAAGAATGACAAACACAACAAACTAGGCATGTGAAGGGTATAAACTGAACAATGAATTTTTAACAGGTTTCAAGAAGAATAGCAATGCCCACAATGTTTGATCTACTTAAGTAATAACATGTCCCATAACTATAAAGTTTATGTTATGTTAAAATCTAATCGTATAATCTCATTTCTAATCGGAGCAAAGCATTTCTAAAATTTTTGCAGTATACTCCTTCCTTTGTAAGTACCTTTTGAGCTAGACTTGTTAGTTGAAGTAGTAGTTGGTTACATTAATATCCGAAAACCGGCTAGTGATATCTCATTACTATGATGACATTACTATTACAATGTGATGAGTGATAACTGATAATGATAGTCTAATACTTTTGTTATTAGTAATATCTCATTACTGTTAAAACATTACTATCTCATTACTTATATGGAGTAAAAATGATAATTTTACTTAAATGGACAAATGATATTTGAATGCAATGATTATCTCCTTTGATGCCTTAAGTAACAAGATCCTAAAATTATTCTGCATTAAAATAATTTCTAATTTTTTTTTTTTTGATTAATAATTTCTAATTTCTTGTGTTAAGATTTCTTCTTGATTCTCTTTCTCCTCATCACTTATTCCTTTTTGTGCTTTTTATCTGTTTTGCTGTGTATGTTTTCCCCATTGTTGGCATCTGACATCTCTGTTGTGCTGCATGTGTTATTAGATGATCCATTTGAGCATGTTGGCTCTATACTTGTGAACATTTCAAAGAAAGAAGCAGGAAGGGAAATTTTGTTGGATCCCAAACGTGGACTTTTAAAGCAGATAATTATGCAATTTGACTCGACCAGTTTACTACGGAAAAGGGGGTATGTTAAATAAATTTGGGTGTTTTATCTCTTTGTTGATGACTTCATGCTTTCGTCTACTTGGTGCTTTAATAAAGTCTTTTGATATCCTATAGCTGGATAACAATGAAAATGCTTAAGATTGAGACTCCAGTTTCAAAGCATCTGCCTGTAATTGAGAGATTTGAGTCCTGCTTTTCAGTTAATAGAATAATAGATGCACAAACATTGGAAAGTCGTGAAATTATATTCATGTCAGGTCTGATATGCTATTATTACATTTATAAATAGAGGCATCTACTAGTTAACTAATGCTATTAATACATTATAGTATTATATCAGAGGGGCTAAATGGGATGTATAAGGTTTCTTCAAAGTTTATTTGTTTAGTTTGATGGTCTTTTTTGTTTCCTGCAACTCCTGAGAGATGTAATCTTCTTTTAGAATGCATTTAATTTACTTGGACCTCTAATTTAGAAGTACAACAAGTTCATGTTAAATGGAATATGATCAGACATCACTTATTTGGTTGAAGAGTTTTTTTTTATTTCTCAGCACTAAATTTTTTATTTCTTGACTTCAGGTCTCAGGGACTATTCGAAATTGCTGTTTTGATGCTGAAAATCAGTTGGCAAACTTGCTGTTAACATCAGAATTTCTTTGGCCGGCTCTTCTATTGCCTGTTGCTGGAAACAAGGTAACTTATGGTGTACTTGTTGAATTTCATCTATTGTTCTATGAGGCTGTTATTGTTTTGCTTCGCATCAAACTCTCTATGTCGTTTGTGGTTTATGGATGCTTTTCTGTAGGGTAATCTGAATATCTGATCCTTCTAATCAGTAGTTCTATCTTCCTTTAAATTCTTTTATTTGCTCTTTTTATTTTTGTTAGATAAGAAGCTCTGTATCTCCTTTATGAACTTATGTGAAATTGGTTGAATACAAAATGCCACATATACGGTAGAGGTTTAGCTATGAACATAGCATTAAACTTTCTGCACTTTCAGGTAACCAAACTGCTCACTGTAAGATGTACATTGCTTTCCACTTATAAGTGGCACCAATAATAAGAAAATGTGTTTAAAGTACCTCTTAGTGCCATCAATAACAAGAAATTATGTTTAAAGTAGTATGAAGTTATAATGACAGAGACAAGAATTGATGTTATGGAGAAGTGACTTTACCCTGAAAACCCTGAAAACGTCAATGAGAAGTTTTTTTGTTGAGGAGTGGGGACTTCTCAAAAAGGGAAATGGAAAGGTAAATATTGGACGAGAAGAGTATATACATTCAGCTTTGTGCTTATCTAGGTCAGAATGTCGGCCATTTTATCCCTTAACATGAGATAGTATTTGACTTTGCCTCATGTTAACTTTGTACTTTATTTTCATTTCCTTAGTTTGTCTTATAAAATTGTTTAATTTTCATTTTTTTGTATTTTGCCTTTTGCTTCAGGTATACAACCAGGAGGACACATCCAAGATGCCTTGTGAACTTGGAAATGCTCTCTCAATTGAGCGTGATAGAGTTACTAATGTTGAGATTCGTGTTCAAACATTAGAGGCAATATATCTGATTGTCTTACAGGTAAAATTGCAAAGGTTTTACTGAAAACTACAAACCTGTTTTTTCTATATTGACCTTATGCAACTACAGAGTACTTAGTAGCCTATATGAATCACAAGGTTGTAGGGAGGGATTCCAATAAGAAGAGTTATCTTGCCATTTTCATTTTAAAAATCAAATAAATTAAAAAGTAAAAAATAAAAAAAACTTTCGTACTTTATGTCCTGCCCTTTCTTAAATTTGCAATAAAAGGCTAGTTAATACGTAGTATCACTCTTACGCACCAAAAAATGGATGTTTTATTTCTTTAAGATCGATAGTCCCTTATCTGAAGAAAAATGATAGAATGAGCTTCCCCCTCTTCCTTTTTATCCCAACAGAGCATGTGGACAATAGGAGAGTGGATGGATACAGCATGTATCTTCTTGGGAATTGCATTGGCTCTATCCCTTCATTTTTCTCTTGACTGAATTTGCCTTCTAATTCTTTAGTGAACACGAATTATACCAAGGCTTAAGTTGCTTTGACCCAGATACCCATGTCCGACATGGATATGTGTCCAAGTGTGTGACTTGGCTATTTTGTGAAAAAATCATTATTTAATTTGGTCAAGAGTAAAGGGTTGAAGTGTCCTATCCATGTACAAGTAGTCCAATATTGAGGATCCGACACGGGTACTCAAGGTAAAATGAAGAGTTCGAGTAACACAAGGCATAATATTGAGTAGTTTGTTATTTTATTAGCTTTAATCTTACCGAGTTCCCATTACAGATATATATCATCTCATATAATTGGATATGCTGCCTCTTTTCAAATGTTTTTTGTTTCACTTAATTTTTTATTGTTGGAAGAGTGAATACCTCAATGTTTGGATAACAGCTTAAGCATTGTAGTCTGTATTAAATTTGCAGGAAGCTGGTCGAAGGGCCTTTTGGTCAGTTAATGGTCCAAGGATTTTGCAATTAGGGTATGAAGATGAGGAGGATCCAAAGGTTATGGAAGCCTATGAGAGAGTTGGCGCCTTGGTAATCCACCACATTCTTCCTATAACTTTTTTTCTTTCTTTCTCTTTCACTCTCTCGCTTTCAGGGGTTGAACTTAAACCTTACGTTTTTAATACTTGCTTATCAGTTGGTTGATACGAGTGGGACAGAATAATGGCCAAGAACATCAATATACATGGACATGTCAATTCAAGAATTTGTGTTCGCAAGGATAATTATACTTCTCCATAGGGTATAATTTTCAAGCTCGGACATGTTTTTTATCTTGTAGAAATTGAAATCATGTTATTGTGTGAAAGATCTGAAAATTGGTTCATCGATGCCTCTCATGTTAAGTGTTGTGATATTATCAATTACCTTGACAGCTTGATATTGAACAATTTAGATACTTTATATATGCACTCTTGCGATCCAACATATGTTGTGAAACATAAAGACATAAAGTCCAACATATTTATCGTGAAGCAAATTGTGTAGCATATTGCGCAGTAATACCAAGACCATCAAAATTTGCCAAAGATAACCTTTTTTTTTTTTTCGTCTTGGTCTCTTGCTTAAAGTAGTTTAGGGTTTAATCATTTTACCTCAAGAGAAGGCATTCCTGGCAACATCTAATGTCTAATCTATACAGATGCAACTTTTCTTCATATGGTTATCATTTATGTACTCCAACTCTTCATCCTTTGATGATCTGATCCTCCTCGTATCTTCCTAGTCTTCATCCTCCTCTTTGTTGTCGCCTTCCTCCTCTTCATCCTCCTCCTCCTCCTCCTCTTTGTCCTTGCCTTCCTTCTCTTCACCCTCCTCTTCCTTCTCTTCACCCTCCTCTTCCTTGTCGTCGCCTTCCTCCTCTTCTTCGTCATAGTCAGGGCAATCATCATTTGAGTTTTACTACCATTTTCTTCAGCCTCAATATCGCTATCGTTGGGACCATCATCCTCAAAATCTTGTCGAGCATTCTCATCGTTTGTGTCTTCATCACCCTCAACGTCGTCATGCTCATCCTCCTGATGTTCACCATTGTCTCCGTCGTCATCATCTTGTGTATAGACAAGCTCTGCCTCAAGGCTATGAAAAATTGCCAAAGTTTTAAATTACTTGACAGCTCTACAAGTTACATTTTTAAAAAAATTTTGTAACTATATCATATACAAAGTATTGGTAAGTTTCAAATCAAAGTCAGTTTGGTGAAACAACATGCTACGAAATACTATATAAAAATCATGTTAAAACTTTTTCTTTAGTACCATATCTACTCATCTACTAGCTAGTAATAAAAGATACTAGAGTATATAACATGCTAAAAACGATATAAAGGAGTACATTTTACATATTTTAGACTAAAACAAGTAGTAAACAAGACAGAGAGAGAACCTTTGCGGATGAGGAATGACGGGCAATAGAATTAGATCATCATAGTTACCCAATATTAAGCTGTAAAAACAAAAGAATATTAAACTTAAGCATAGAAACAGTGGCAAAGCTCTCAATTGTCTTCTATAACAATTGTTTTTGAAATTGTGATTGATGACTTATAATTAACAAATAATAACATGAGTAAGCTAAGGGAGATTATATTGTTATGTGATGAAATGCTAAACTAGATGGTATTTATAACAGTCATGAAGTTGAGACTCATAACAAATTTCTCAACAACTACCTAACAACTTAGCAAATTATATCAACATTGAAGCAACAAAGAATAGTGATACAGTAGTGTAGATTACATGTACAAAGACTACTAACACTCATTCTTCAGCATATTGCACATGATACCGAGGTTCTCTCAGGCATTCACCAAGGCATGATACACTTTTTGAGTCAAAGTCTAATACAATCAACTATAGCAAATTAGCATGAACACTCATGCAAATTGTATGTTGATTGTTGAACCATAGTAGCGGGCTTTTTCCGGCTGGTAAAAGAAAAAACAACTAAAGATGTGTAATATACTTGTTCAAGGCCTGCCCAAAAAAATAATAATCGTGGCCGACTTCAAACCCAAATTTTATGTCCATGACCCGTCCAAAATCGGAATAGGCCAATGGGCCAGACCCATACCCATGTTGATCAGGTCTAGGTAGCTATTAGAGTAGCGAGTAACTATCAATTAGTAGTAGGAAGAGGTTATTTGTCAAAGTAACGATTGATTGTACTAGTGTTGGGTTAAATTAGTAGTTGAATACTAAAATACATACTATTGTTTAAAAAAGTAACCAACATTTGACAAACACTTTTTTAACGTTTAAAGCTACCAAAACGCTATTTCTACCACTAATTGTTACATGAACTAATACCTCGGCAAACAATTATATATATTTTTTCTAATAGTGTATTGACTTAATGAAAACTAACTGCTACTTCAAACGCTACAGTCAAACAAGACCATAATGATATAGTATGATAACGCTAAGTTTTTGTATAAAAATAGTTTGGTGTGGTCTAAACCGCACTCTAAACTACCCTCTTCGACTATCCATTAACACATGGGCTAATCTTGCTCTTAATCTTTCAAATTTCACCCTAGTCCAACTCCCAATTGATAGCTAGGCGTAGACTCCCGCCACTAAACACCCGCCAACAGAAAATTTCAAAACTCAAAAGACAATGCGCACATTCCCGCCATCTTTATCTCTATTTACCCTTCTCTTTCAACCTCCTTCCTCATTTCTCATTTTCTCTCTCCTCTTTCAGCAATCAACCCTCTTCGCAGAATTCAAACCCTAATTATCATTCATAATAATAGTAATAATAATTGATTCGATCGATAAATGGATATCACTGATATAGCAAAGAAGCTAGACCTCGCCGGTAACAAGCCCGTCGTTCGTAAAGCTGCTGAGTTCCGCCGTCTCTCCGATGTCAAGTTCGATTCATCTGCTCTCGGCATCGTATGTTGTATCTCCTCATTTTTGCATTTCTTTCTTTAGCATCATCTAAAAAGTTTTAAGATCGTTAAAACCCAGATTATTTTTTTCAGGGTGAGATTTGCAAGGCTATAATCTGCTTAGAAATTGCTGCAAACAAGTGGGTTTTCCCCTAATTTTTTGCCCTCATTTTCAATTTTGATTTTTGTTGATTGGGTTTGTTTATTTATCGAATTGGATTGTTTGTAGATATGAAGTTATATTTGATCGGCAAAATGCGATTAAATTAAGTGGAATGTCAGAGAAAGCTTACACCAGATCGTTTAATTCATTGCAGAATGTTCTTGATGTCAAGTGGGTTTCTTTTACATTTGATTTATTCTATGGTTTGATTGGATGTTTTGGGGTTTAACGATTTGATTTGATTTTGTTTAGGAATAATTTGGATGTGAGAGAATTGGCAATTCAATTTGGATGCGTTAGGATTATCCCTTTTGTGCAGAAAGGATTGAAAATGTAAGTATTGTTGTATTCTTTCGAGAAAAATGTTGTATGTGTGAATGAACAATTGTTGGGTTTAATGAGAATTTGAGGATTCATGAACTTTATTGATTTGCCCATCCAATGTTTGATAAAATGCCTAAATGGGATGTTTTCTTGTTCGAGTATAGTTTGAATTGGTAATTTTAGTATTTACGTTAATTTGTATATTGCGGTATCTGTTGCTGTTGAGCTTGTAGATGAGGTTCTCATAGGTTGTAGAAAGGGGGTGTGTGAAAATATGTATAAAATGTTGTGTTTGAGAGTTTTAATTGTGGTGCCTTGTTGATATTGCTATTAGGTACAAAGCCCGATTCTTTGCTTCGCTCCCAGCTAGTAGGCGAAGTAGCACTGATTTCAGTAGACCCGTGTTTATGGCTGTGGCATTTTATCTATGTGCTAAGAAGCATAAGGTATGCACTTCTTGTTCGTTGATCTAGCCCATTTCGGTGCTATAAGTGTAATGTAAGCATTTGGTTTTCTATGAGCAATTGTTGCTAATTGTATCTTATTTCTTTGACAGCTTAAAGCTGACAAAGTTAAGCTGATCGAGCTTTGTGGCACTTCAGAATCAGAATTTTCTAGTGTAAGCACTATTGTGTCTTTGAACATCCTTGAATCCTTTTTTTCACTTGCTTTGTTTTGGGTGTACTGATAGTTGAAGTTCAATTGTAGGTTTCTAATTCAATGAAGGACCTATGTCATGATGTTTTCGGAGTTTTGAAAGAGAAAAAGGACCCCAAAGAAGTAAAAGGGAACCGAGGTAAAAACTCAGTTATTCTTTTGATGATTCTTAATACTCCTCATTTGGTTTACTAAATTGAATTGCTCTGATATTTTGCCACTTACAGAACTATTGGATGCGTTTCCTGAAAAAAGAGGATATGATGATGGTGGCTATACCTCTGATGAGGACAGTGAGGTACTTTTGGATAATTTTTGTACTCTTTACATATAGATCAAGTTACAAGAGCTAACCACATCGAACTAGCTATGTTACTTGGACTGTTCAATTCACCACCTCAAGTACCTTTGTTGGGTCCTCGATATTTAACTTGGGCTTGGAGACAATGAGAAAATCTAATTAAAAAAACAAGTCTAATACAAGGACTTGTACCTGTGTTTCACTAGTGTACACTATTCCAATTAGCATAGAATATTAAATTGTGCGTGAACCCAAGCTGATAATAGTTATTTGGATTTGTGGAGAGATACTCTGTTTTAATAAGTTCATCAGACCACCCGAGGCATTCCACAAACTCACCTAAGCCCTTTGCTCCATAGGAATAAAACATGATCCTGTTGATCAGTTTTGATCCTTGGGTTTTTTATTTTTATATTTATATTCTGTGAATTTACTTGAATAGCACACTCCCCTCCACACTTTCTAGGTGGTTGTTAATTGTACCTGAGTTAACTTACACAGTTCTTTGTATTAAACACCATAGTGAGCATGTGAAAGGATTCAAGCACTGAAGCAATTGATCTTCTCTATATTTCACCAATCTAGTAAAAGCCAATCTATCGAAGTAACGTGGTTAACTAATTCGTTGTATAATTCAAGTTTACTTTCAATTTTTATAAGCAGGGTAGAAAACTTTCTCTATCATGTTTAATTGGATCTCTTAAATTAACACTAGATGTGACTGAAAGAGCCATGTTGGCTACTTCAGAGCTGTCACACAGTATATCTAGTTGAAATTTAATACTTGTACTTCTAAATCTGTTGCTGGTAATGTGTAATTCATCATTATATTACTTGCAGCCTTCAAGCTATAAGAAACGAAAGAGAATGGAGAAACATGATTATGAGGAGTGGAAATCAACTGTGGTTTCATCAATAAACCAGAAAAAAGATAAAGAGGGTATGATATGCTATGAAAGATTAACAATCTAGCTCCATTATGCTGTTTCTTTTTCTTGACTGATTCATGCATTCCTTTTCAGTTACTACCAAGCGGACAAAGCAAGCCCGCTTGAACTTTCCAACGATAGCTCGTGATACTCAGGATTTGAAGGTTACATAGCTATGTACACAATTTTGTCCGGTGTTCAGATTTTAGAATTTGAAGTTGCTCATACACCTGTTCGAAGAGGCAAGGATTCAGTTTTCTATCTGCTATATGATTCAGATTTCTCATCCACTTCTACAAAAGGTGTAATTGTTTCTGAACTTTCATGTTACAATGTACAGAACATATAAATTTAAGTATTTAAAATGACAGAGCTGATATAATTATAAAATTATTCATATGCCAGTCAACATACATGAGCCTAAGCAACATCTGGTTCTTCTATTCTTTTTTATAAATCTGTATAGATAAGATTGTTTTCTGTAAGTTAATTAAGAAATTATTGGTGAATCCATATTTAGTGAATGTTATGCATGTGCTGGATTCTGAAATGTTATCAAATCATGTAGAGTTTATTACTGGTTGACAGTGGTTCAATCATTAATATTGGAGCTTTTCACAGGTTTATATCATTTACAAAAGAATCCACTATACTAACCGCCAAAGTATAAACAATTACATTACAGCTCATGTTTTAATTAAAGGAAAATCATGTTTTATTACCAGACTATTGCAGTCTGAATCTGATTAGTAGATCTAGTTTGGACTCAAATACTGTAGTCTTTTAATGTTGTGCTTATAGAATAAAGAGTTGTTATTACATTGATATTATAAATTAAAACCACAATTTCCTCAAAAAACAAAATATTCTCAGTGGCTATCTGTTCCTATTTGTTCTTTACACAATACTGTCCAAGTGGCTAAATTAAGAAAATGTTGATTGTATTTGGTCAATTGTAGAAGAAAAGAATTGTTTCGCGAGATTGTGTTAGGTTTGTTTCAAAGTAAATATTAAAGATATCAAAATTTTGCAAGTTTTACTTATATTGATGATAAATACAACATATTAACATGTGTAAACTATGAAAAAACAAGTGTATAGCATAAGTGTTTGTTTAGTTGACATAACAATACATAAGAAGTGGAAATTTCCTAGAAAGTGGAACACCAGAAGTTATATGATTGACAAAATTATAGGAAGTAACACCTCCTATAAGATAGAGGAAGTTGTTTTCTAAGTCTCCTTACCAAATAGCAACTTGGATTTCCTAAAGGTAGGCCGTGCCCTGTGTTGGGCTTGCGTGCTTTGTGTTTGACTAATGATGTGAATCGAGTCCCCTTTTTATAACTATTTTTATTGTTTTATATAGGTGCTCTCTTAGTTTTACCTTACTCTTAAAGTAGGGGTTTTACGAGTGAGTTTTAATAATGTTTTAATTATTTTCTTAGTAGTAGTTATGGGGCCTTGGGCTTCCTAAGTTGTGTTAAATAATTAGTGGGCTCTCTTGGTTCATTAATTAATTATTAGGACTTTTTATTTAGTTTGTTTGCAAGGCAAGTAGGTTAGATTTATTTTTCCTATATATATTTGATTCATGTCAACAATTATAGTAGGACGTTTATGAATTAAAAGTTGAGAATATTGAGCTTTTGCTTGAAGAGAACTTTGTTAAGGTTCAAACTAGTTGTTAACTAAGGTTTTGGGATTGTTGCTCTTAAGATCAAACTTAGAAGTCGTTGCCTTCTAAGACTATCCTTTAAATTTCCACCATTAAAATCACTCAAATTCTTCCACTAAATTTAAATTGTCAAAAATACGCATCAACTAAGCTTGGCTCACGACTGAGCCCACCCGTTACATGTTGTGATGTGACGTGTCAAAATTCCTAAAAAACAACCATGGTAGGACCAAAACCCATGTGCTATTGTGTGGTGTCTAAGCTAAATTTAACTTATTTTATTGTGCAATGTCGTGCTTCTCCTGAAATAACATATAAGCTCACTTATAGCTTGCTGCGCACTGTGCGTGCTCATGTCATGATGCGCTAGATTTGTGCTGCATCAATAGTGTCATCTATCCTTATACATATACAGAGTAGGGGTGAGCAAACCGGGTCCCCGGTCAAAATTTTAGGATCCGGAATTGGTTGGCACCGGGTCCTAAAATTCGGAACCGGAATTGGAATTGGTTCAACCGGGTCCTAAAATTTAGGACTTGGAATGGGAACCATCGAGTATCGGTTCCAGTTTCGGGTACCCACTTATGTATATAATTGTTAAAATATATTATAAATTATAATACTTATATATTTTATTCTATTTTCATTTTTAGCGTTTAACACTTGTATTTATATATGCATTAAGCTATTTTATTTATGTAAGGTATTAATATATTTTTTTTTTTACTAACTAGATACACTTAACATAATTTTATTTTTAAAAACTTATTTAGTGTAACATATGTTGGGTAATCGGGTACCCAACCGGTTCTGGGTCCAAAAAATTGAGAATTGGATTTGGAACCGGTTATAACCGGCTCCTTAATTTATTACCAAGAATTGGAATCACCAGGTCCAATTCTGTTTCCGGACCCGCCAGTTCCTAATCGGTTTCTGTTCCAATTCCGGATACCCGAAATTTTTGCTCACCCCTAATATAGACTATAGAGTAGTTACTTTGTATACGAGTATCATTATCCTTAATAAAAAAACGAAATGTCACAGCACAAAATTAAACCTACGAGATTAGAGATTATTCTTGTCGAGTTAGTCAAATATGGAGTATGACAACTAGGGACTAGTAGGGAGGTACAAGTACTAAGTAAATTTCAGTAGCAGCATTGTCAGTATGTCACCATTACAACACAAGTCACATAGTCACATGTTGTGTATTGTGTATAGAGTACAATTATGTACTCCTTACGTGATGCCCCAAGTCAGTGGTAATATCTTTCAACCATACCTAATCCAGTCAATTACGACAGCATAATCAAATTATTCAAGGCCCAAATATTCTCCACCTTACATCTTTGAATTTTATTCGATTTACTAACTTCTAGATTAATTTACCACTAATTTCTTTATCATAATAATACCAATTCTAACTATAGAAAACCACAGTTTTCAGAAACAAATATCTCATTATCTTTCTCTTTTAATTTTCAAATTAATTGTATTCAAATGATTATCGACGTATTACCTATCGACATACTCTTTATGCATATACCATCAACGTAATATCGAAAATACAGATCCAATATTGTATTCGTACTTTATGTTTTTATTAACTCTTCACTTTTTAATTTTTTAATTACTTCGTTTCTTATGTGATGATTGACATACAATGTACCAACATACGGAATATGCATATACCGTCCACATTAAGATCGATAGTTCAATCTGGTTAGGTACTTTATATGTTCATTGACTCTTCTCCTATTTGATTTTTCCGCAATTAAATTATAAAACCCTAACTACCAGCAACTCATCTCTTTCACCTTTTCTCGTGGCTGACTTTCTCTCTCCTACTCTCTCAGGAATCAAATTCCCCAAATTATAATTCCCCTTTTTTTCCAGTCCAATCATTTGATCCAGCTTCATAATTCCAAGCTCTGTCTCCTTCACCCGTCGTATTATCTGGGTCAGATCATAATCAATCAACCATTAATTTTTGCATTAATCGACATTTATTATTTTCTGGGTATGCGATTTTCCCCAGATTTTTGAAGAATTTTTATATTTCTTCTTCATTTTTGAGAAAAAGGATGAAGATGATGGGTGCTGAATTTGAGGTTTCCGATGAGATATTGGGGACATTTGCGCCGATTATTGTGTATTGGGTATACTCTGGGATTTATTTGATGTTTGGTTCTTTTGATAATTATCGTTTGCATTCGAGAAAGGATGAAGATGAGAAGAATTTGGTCTCGAAATCTACTGTTGTTAAGGGTGTTCTTCTTCAACAGACTGTTCAAGCTGTTGTTGCTATCATACTTTTCGCGGTTAGTCGTTTTGATCTTTGTTTTCGCCTTAATTTTGATCTGGGTTTTGTGTTCATTCAGTGTTTAGTGGATTGATTTGTGGGTTTGATTATGTTTTTACAGTAAATTAATTTTGATTATAGTGCTAATTTTCTTGTATTAACTGCTAATTTTGAATATTAATTGGTTAATTTGGAGTGAGGTTTGAGCTTATGATGATGAAATCAATTTTAATTTGAATGGGAACTTTTTATTCTTGTTTAATTGCATGATAATGAGTTAATGACAATGCTTTCTGTTGTATCCGAGTAATTTGTGAAATTGTTGATTTTTATTGTCAAAGTGTATTGCAATTGACAAAAATTTTAGTTAGCCTGTAAGTTTACTCTGTGAAGTGCGTTTAAAATGTGGTCAATGGTGGCTATAGTTTGTTTTGACTGAAAAAATGAAGGATCTTTTTGTGCTATCTTCGTCGAGTTGTTGGTGTTTAATTGGAATTTGAGTGGCAATAATTGTTTTCAGAGGAGTGTTTGATATCATTCATCGTTTGGTTGAGCTGGAATTTTAGAACTTTCACATTTGGAGAAAGAGATAAATTCCCCTTTAAGAAATTATGGCTTATTGATATGAGAAAAGTATTCTTTTTCCAAGAGAAGTGATGATTTAGAATAAGCTTTGTACTGAGGACATTTTTTAGGAGGTCTGATATTTGGGTTTTTAGGAGATGTAATATTTGGGTAAAAGCCTTGTGAAGAGGATTCCTTGTGAAGTTCTAGTACAAAATGTTGTTCCCTCTTTTATGGGAAAGTGATATCTCAATAATCTGGTTTAAAACTGATACATGAAAAGATAATGAAATTTATAGATTATGCTTCCCTAACTCCGAATGAAACAGGCACAATAACTTTTGGCAAGTAGAGAAGATATTAATTTAGGATATCTGGGGAAGTTGTAGATTGTTACTGCTAGCTTATTAGTAATGATGCACATGAAATTGGGAAGTAGTTCTATATCGCTTGAGGAAAATAATGTGCAACCACAACATGATTGACATTGTTTTTGGTAAGAGGGATACACTTTTGGTGAAAGTTCCAATTTTGGTAGCCCCTACGTGCGGATTTGAGAAGAAAACGGTTGTTCTCATTCAAGAAGATAAGTTAATGTTATTTGCATTGTAGCTTACCATTTTGAGTGATAATAGAATCATGTTACTTTGTACCGAGCTATATATAGGTCCTTGTGACAAAGCTTACAGCTTTTATGTATATGAATACAGCGTAGTTTGTTTCCTCTATCAGATTCTTTAATGATGTCTTGAATACAGAATAGCCTCTTTTGTAGTTTATGAGTATTGATTAATGAATAAAGAGTAGTTTGTTACCTCTGTCAGATAAAGGCAATAACATTTTTACGCAATGAATTATTGTTGTAAATATTAGTAAAAGTAATATGGTCAAGTAGGATATGTGAATAGTGTCAAAGTGGAACAAGTAGGAAAGGAAAAAAAAACAGTAGTAGTATTCTTGTCCTGGAGTTTATGGGAATGTTTAGTGTCTCCTGTGATACTTGGGCTTTTCTTTTCTTGAGTACTCTAACATGAATATTGACACTTGACGTATCATCTTGAACCAATGCAATTTTTATGAAGTGAATGAGTTTAACAGTGAGTCACATACCATAGTCACACTGCAATGCCCTTAATTCAATTAAGCATGTCAACATCACATGGGAAGAGGCGGGCACCTTAATCTTCCCAAACAACTCATGTGACCAAAACCCATCACTTTAGTTTTGCTCCGCTCCATGTTTAGCTTATGAAAAATTGAATAAAAATGTAGTAAGATACTCCCTTCATCCTGAAAAGAATTAGTCATATTTCCACTTTAGTCGGTTCCAAAAGGAATGCCCTCTTCTTTTTGTGGGTTGGGAGGCTGGGTCCACTCAATGTAGTAAAGAGTAACATAAATCCCATTTTTTCCTCTTTTATTTATTTTATTTAAAAATTTGCTTCACTTCCTCTCTCATTAATTGAACTAATACTTCCTCTGTAACAAATTACTTGCAACGTATCACTTTGACATACATTTTAAGGGAAAGATTTGAGGGTTTAAATGTTCAGATTATTAAAATGAATTTAACATCGATAGCATATAGTATCCATCTTGCTTCAGTTGCTTGTGTTTCAATTATTTTGATTAATATGCTCATTTACACCATCAATTCTCTTCCTTAAAATGCTTGCTAAAGTGCTATGTTGCAAGTTGGAATATGGAACATTGTAAGTATAAAACAAAAGCTTCTTTATTCAATCTTCACTCAACAGTGACTTTCACTGGACAATTCCGTTAAAAATGGGCAATACTTTTGGCTTTTTAAGGACGGAGGGCATAGTATTAATATCTATGTTTTAGTATAAATGAAATAAATGTTCTATAACCATTGCTGCAAAATATAGTGTCTTGAGTTTGTGACGGGTGCACACTTGCCTCACCCTCACCTTACACCTTGAATTTGAGGCCTTGTTCTTTGCCTCTTAATATAAAGGCATCGCCCAATGATGCTGGCAATCTGGCATAGTGTCTGACTAATCGTAGATGTTTTTTGATTGGAGTATTAAAGTGTATATGGTAGATATAAATGGTCATATTTTGCCGTACTGTTCTCTGCTTCTATGGAATAGAATCAATTTATGCCATAATGAGATTTGGCATATAACTTATTCAGCTGTTTGGTAAATATTATAACTCTTTTTACGTGATTATGTGGCTTTGGTAGTGTTACCCAATCCCCCCCCCCTTTGTGCGCAAATTTTGTATTGGGAACATGAGTATATTGGCTATTACACATACTGGTATAATGGAATTTTTTGGACTAATTCAACATAATTAGGTAGTGAATTGCGTTCTGCGTACCCATTTGGTGTGTTAAATTGCACTGTGGATTAGGAAAAAACACTAGGCTTTGTTGTTGTCTTAACATGTGGCTTAACTATTATGGTGTACAAGAATTGTCTGTCTCTTGTATGTGAGCATGTGGAAATGTTATCGTCTCTCATGATACTCGGGACATCCATTTAATTTCAATATGCAATTGTTGGTTCAGTCAGTCACTCTCTTAAGACTCCATTTTGAACCAATGCTCACAATTTTTCTTCTTCTTGAGTGTCTGAGTCTGACACTGAGATACAATAGCTGTCATGATGTCCTTCTGGTTACAAATTTTGCCTCAATATATCATGCTGAGCTACTGACTGTTGCACAGCATGGGGCCATGGGCTGAGGCGCACACCTCAGTGCATTAATTACACATGTGACCAAAATCTGTTAATTCTGTTTCGCACTTTTTGATTGAAGTAGAAGAAACCCAAATCTTTCAATGTAATATAAATTATGTGTTTCCTTGTAAAAATAATCTTATAAGGTGATAAATAACCAAATTTGAAACCTAGAATCTTGTGCTAGTGTATGTTGTGTCTGCCCCACACCTCACACCTCTAATTTGACTAATTGAGCACCTTCTTTTGCGGTCTGATCAAAGTAGTTGTAGTCTGATCATGTGCAGTGAATTCAGTTGATTAGTCTTTTCATAAATGTAATTTTTTTAATGTCAGCCCTGTACTTGAGAAATTGGATCTTGTTCTTATTGATGTTTCAAAAGTTTATAGTCTGTACTTATTCTATACAGTATATGTAATTCTTCCATGGTTCCACCAATTTAGAATTTTTTGGTGTGTGTTGAGTGTGTTAGACTGGGTTTTCTTTTTACATATCTTATATTTGGAAATGAAAATCTTTTATTTTAAAAAATAATTATGTAATAAATCTTTCAATGAATAATCCTGGATGAGAAATACACCGAAAATCCTATGAGCATGTGTTTGGTTCACAAGTTTCAGGTATCAATAACATATGGAATCATCCAAATCGATGTGAGGGGGGCCAACCCTCTTTACCTGCAAACTATAAGGTTCCAGACCTATGGGATTTGTGGGTTTGTTCCAAACCCTCATGGCCTCACTGTGGAATTAAATAAATTAAGAGACAGAACACCATGGCTTTATCACCATAAATACAATCACCAGCAATACAACCCTCGTCGCCAAACCACCATAACAGCTCTGCTACGTGACCCCTCCCCTCTCGCCTCTGCCTCCGCCCTTATTTGTATGTGCCCCTTTAGTACCCTTCCAATACCACCGCTGCCAACAAAAATCACTACCATGATGTTCAATCTCTTCATCAAGGACATCAACCTCTTTGCTCTGCACCCTTGATCGACCACCGGTCCCAAACCTGGTAGCCAAAATTGACCATCCATACCTACATTGTACTAAGTTGTTGAAGAGGTGTGGATTAATCTAATTGATCTACATTATTACACCTTTCCTAGTAGGAGAGACTCCAGAGGGGAAGGAGAACACAGGTGGAGGGAAAGGAGATACAGAGGCAGTGAGGGAGAGATGCTGCTGCAAGAGAAGAGTTGCCAGAGTGTGAGGAGAAGAGTGAGGGAGGAGCTCTGGCAGTGAAGTTTGAGACTAGGAGCACAGAGGAAGAGAGAGAGAGAGAGAGAGAGAGAGAGAGAGAGAGAGAGAGAGAGAGATGAAGGGGGTTCTTTTCCCAATTTGGTACTGGATACCAGGAGCCACCAAAAGAGACCTAAGGCTGTGGTCACTTGTTTTTAGGTATTTAGCTCCAAAAATCATCAATGTTAAACACATGGATGTGATTTCTCACCTGATACCCAGGATCCATACCATAAGAGGGGTCTAAGGCTATTGAGGCTAGAAGGTAATTCTACATTTACTTTTGGGATTAGTTAAATCATCAAGTGAATTGGGACAGGGTTGCTTGGGAATTAATTGTTGTCAACTAAATGACAAGTTGATTCTTTGTTTATTTAGAGCCTTGCTTTTGTTTGTGGGCCCAAGTTGCCTTGGCATTGTAGCCTAAACTGGCTATATATGTTAATCAACTGTCTCTGCATGGGCAGTTGATGCTCATAGGTCTTCAAAGATGTGTCAGAATGACGCTATTTTAAGGACTGTATCAAAGGTCTTGCTGTTGGTTTTGGTGGTCTTAATTCATTGGTCTGCATTGCAGATGTTATGCATTAAGGGTCATTTGTTAGTACATGGTGGCTAATTGCTTGTGGCCTTTCAGCAACGATTCTGATTGTTAAGCAGTTGCTTATGTGTACATAGACCTTTTTTTTTTTGTTTTGTTTTTTTTTTTTTTTAACTGCCTTTACTTTTTATTCTCTATTGGGCTGCTGATTGAATTTACTGTTGAGTGGCAACCCATGTTTTACACTTAGGCTCTGTTTGGTTTGACGTAAAACATTTTCAATGAAAAATGATTTTTCATGGAGAACATGTTTTCAAGGAAAACTACAATTGCAAATTAATTTTCCTTTTGTTTGTTCCTTTACCAGAAAAGTCATAGAGAAATTGAAATAGGATTGGAAAGGTGAGGATAGATGATAAAATAGTATAAAGGAGGTAAGGAAGAGGGAGGAAAATGTGGCTTCTCATCTTTTTATAAAGGAAATTATTTTCTACCATTGAAAATGTAGTTTTCCACCATTAGGAAAATTGTTTTCCAGCCATTTCTCAAACCAAACAAAGGAAAATGAGTTAAAATCATTTTCCATGAAAACATCTACGTCAAACCAAACACACCTTTGAAGTATGTTGCTTCCATTCACTAGGTTCCAAAAGTTTCTTGAGAGGCAATCCATGTTTTCCTGTTATAATGTATATCCATTTGCTAGGTTCCAAAAGCTTGTTTTCTACAACTATTTGATGCTTAACAGTTAAGAAATAAGTCATTTCTGTGGGTCTTTTGTGACAGTTCCTCAGTAAGTGTTGGTAGCATGTGTATATTCTGTCTTTTTATATGGTAAATGAATAACTTAGTGACCCCCCTACCAATCTTTCAATTATTCAGGTTTTGCTGAGCTCCTATCATGAGTATTTAGTGTTTTTACCCATTTTGAATATCTTGATTGCTGACTCGAAATGCTTGTATGTAGGTAACAGGAAGTGCTGTAGAGGCTGCAAAAAATCAAAAAACTTCTATATTTGTTCTCATATGCCAGTTTGTAACTGCCATGATGGTCTTGGATACCTGGCAGTATTTCATGCACCGATACATGCATCATAACAAATTCTTGTACCGACATATCCATTCCCAGCATCACCGGCTTGTTGTCCCTTATGCTTATGGGGCTCTTTACAACCATCCTTTAGAGGGGCTTATTCTTGATACTATTGGTGGGGCCTTGTCATTTCTCGTATCTGGGATGTCACCAAGGACCTCCATTTTCTTCTTTTCCTTTGCAACCATCAAAACAGTGGACGATCACTGCGGTCTTTGGCTACCGGGTAACCTGTTTCATATCTTGTTCAGTAATAATTCCGCATATCATGATGTGCATCATCAGCTTTATGGAAGCAAGTACAACTTCTCGCAGCCTTTCTTTGTTATGTGGGACAAAATTCTTGGGACTCACATGCCTTATTCTCTAGAGCATAGAGAAGGTGGTGGATTTGAGGCGAGACCTACAAAGGAATGCAAGGATGATTGATATAACCCACTGTATGTGCTACATTTACCACTATTCGCAGTCCTCTGCTGTCATATTTAAGCTACCTTTGGAATGTGTTTTCTATGTACATGCCGGTTTTTGTAATCTTATTAATTTGTGTCTATATGAAGTTTTTTGACGCTTGAGCAGAATTTAAATGATGTAGAGTTGGGAATTTCAGCATTATCTTTTTCGGAATAGCCTCTGGTTCATACTGCCTTTGTGATTCAGGCATTTCCTTGGTTGGATGGTGTATTGATTTATTAGCTCAAATGTTTTTAGACCAGGATTATTAAATGTCAAAATTCTAATTTTCATTGTCACTGGATACACTATAGAGGGAGTCATTTTTTAAGGAATGTAATCTCTGAAGCACATATCAGCTGTATGCTTTGTTACTCTTTGATCAACATATTTTTGTCAGATACTATCTTATAAATCGTGTTATGACCTTTGTACAGGCTCACCCAAATACTAGAGGTGCATAGCAAGGTCAAATTGACACCCTTCCCGTACCCCCTTTTGCTTTGAGATATGGCCTCGTAAACGTACGTCTTTTATATGATGATTTAGCATCGGCTCATCTCTCCACCTCGAATGCCTGGCCTTATTGTTTTCAAAGACATTAGAATAGTTCTACCATGTTACTTGTTAGATCTCTCTCTATATGTGAGACTAATTTTGGGCGAGGAATGTAAATATCTGTCTCCACGAATTTTTTATCTAGTGGCTTTCGCGATAATTATAATGATGCAACATGCAAGTTCAGATGTTTGTCAAAAGTGTTGTTTATAGTTTGGTAATTAGAGAGTTTAATCCATCATTGACCTAGTTTATGTGTGTAAAACTCATATCAATGTACTTCTCTCTCTCTCTCTTTTCTTTCTATATCTCTAGTCTTAAAATATCACACTTCTCATGTTGTAATCAAATAAGAATAAATGAAATACAGGATATGAGAAGGTTATAGCCTATAGGGCGTTAATCACAAACCATTCAATGTTCATGATCGTTCAACTAACTTTTGAAGTGCTTGTAGGTAAGAACTGTAGCTCGGTCAATGACCTGGACTAGCTTAATAATTTGGACCCACTCATAAGTGACAATCACACACCTCACCCATTTCTATTGTTTAGGCTATGTAAATGCCCTAATTCTCTGACTTGGTTTTATCTAGTCTGGTCGAGCCTAACTCGGAATAGTTTGAAGTCATCCGTATCAACTAATAATTATTTATCATCTCCACATATCAACCAAGATAGATAGCCACACTCGACTACTCAGCCATGTATACAAGTATAATTGAAGCTGACCATCCTTATCTTAGGTATTGCTCTAACAATCAGAACTTAGAGTACATTGACAAATATTCTCTTTTCTTTAAGCTTTAGTCCTTGTTATATTTATTAATTAGATGCCGACGTTTTTGCATGGCCTTTACTTTTTAATATTGTTATATGGTTCATTTTTCTTCCACGTAAAATGATGGGCTTCCTCAAGATTGTAATACCAATTTAATAATATTTTTTTGGTGTTATATTATTTAGGCATTTATATTGAGCAATTTTAATTGGTGGGGACTTGGGAGAATAATTTTTTTTTTTTTTTTTTTTTTTTTTTTTTTTGGAGGAAGGGACTTGGGAGAATATAATAAAATTAAATTGTGAAATTCCTACAAATTTGTAGCATGAATATTTGGGTTCATACTAACTTGTCTTTCATTATGTTTTTTCATTACTATTTTTGTTCACTCTTTTTGGTAGTTAGTACAGTGCTCAGTTGCATGCATTTTTGTACGCAGATAAGCGGCTATGGTAAGCTAACCATCCGTGCACGAATCACTAATTCATGGCTTCTAGCTACGGCAGATGAACTCGCTAGTACGCAAGAGCTGCAGGTTACTATACCTTCGATTGATTTTGTTTCTGTAGGCTCTATTCACTTCACCTAATATATACTTAACGAAAATATACCTATCACCCTCGACCCTCTTTAGTACATAATTCTCTATATATAGAGAGGTGTTTATATAATGTTGATAATGATGTAAACATATTTATTTAAGACAAGAAGGAAAATATACAATTATCTAATGCGAATTATTTTATTAACACCTATCATACTTGATGCACCCTTTTTTTACAGTAATTTTCTCGAGTGATGTTATCTTTACAAATCCTATCTTTTGAAAACATGAATTTTATGAGATTTGGAGTGACTAACCTCTGTAAAGAAGGTAGGATGATTACTTTTATAAAAAGCGTCATAATCGTAACATTCCAAAGTCCGTAGATGGTGGAAAGCTGGAAAACGCTTACTGCTACAAAATAATTATACTCTGGATTAGGTGGTTACAAAATTGACATTGGCAATCAAATCAATCCAAGCTCTATATGTATTAATAGATGGCGGATGCAAAGTTATTATATTTAGACATTATTGTTCAGGATTGAGACAACAACTAATTAACGTCTTCATGCTAACCTACTCTTTTATTTTGTCTCATTAAGTTGTGTTTTCTTTTTTCTTTGTTTAAAAAAATGAAAATAAAAAACTGACTTGCATGCACTCATCTTCATTGGAAGAACTTTTAAATTTAAACTTACCTTAGTCCCTACAACTCCTTACAAATGAATAGTGAATTAATTACTATGGTTGCCAACTACCTTAATTAGTTAGTCGTCGTGGCAGAAAACTTGATATGGAATCACGTATACATATGTAGCTCTCTCTATACCCGCAAAAAAAATGGATGATACTCTGCACACATTACATAACAAACACACCATGTTTGAGTTCAAAAATTTCTCGTGAAAACAATTCTATAAATTTAACTTTGATGAACAATTAGATTGTACTTTTGTACCTTGTTCATTTCACCTTAAACTAGGTTCATAAGTTCATCTTACATGTGATGTTTTTCTAATTAGACCACTTATGAACTTAAACAACAATTCATCCTATACAACTCCGGCGAAGAGGAACTTACACGAGCAAAACATGTATCATATAAGGGGCTTAACTTGTTACAATAGTATAGTGATTGACAAAATTAGTACATTATTGGAAAAAGAAGAGTGCTTGAGTTAATCGAAAGGTTAGGAAGAAGATTGAACATATCCAAGGTTCCTAAGAAGTTAATTATCATCAGGGAAAAAATAATGCAGGTAGTACATAAACACACAGCACAGTAACAGATAAATTTTACAAAAATCGAAAGCTATTGAATGTACAAAAGTTCAGGACTTAAGCTTTTTCTTTGTCTATGACCAAATCCAGGCAGCTTAGCCTCTACTTGGAACCTAGTCACCGGAGTGAATGAATCCGAGAGCCTGTGCTTCCTCTGACTCTCAGAAATTCCTCTAGCAGGACTTTTTCGATGAACTTCTCGAGCTACATTCACTGCTTTCTGACTCTTGCACCCTAAAAGAAGGCTAGAACCCGGCTTTTGAACCTCCTTGCTCATACCCCGTTTAGCAAATGGACTAGATTTTGATGCTGATGACTTGTGGCGAGTTGTTGAGGGTAGTGCCCTTGATCTTTGGTCCTCTGAATCAGACGCAATAGAGAAATCAGCAGCACTGGCAGTTACAACACTCCACTCGATGCTAGCCTCGCTAGGTGCATATGCAGTTGTTGGGGTGGTGCTGCCATCTGAGGGTATCAGTCGAGGCCTCTGAATAACCGGGTTGGAAGTACAAGACAGGCACTCAATCTCAAATAAGTCGGAACTAGCATCGCTCTCTGTGTCCTTGTATGTCTCACTAGGTGCCCCTGAAGTGCTGATCTCATCAGTTCTTGGGATAGCATCCCATGATAGCATGCTAAGCCTCTTTTGTAGGCTAAACCTCTTGCTCCCATCATCCAAATCACTAAACCCGAACACTTCAAGTGACTTTCTTGCCTCCTCTTCTTCGACATTTATCAACTGCAGGGGAAATTCCAACAAAAAAGAAAATTATTGGAGGCCAAACAAAATATATATATATATATATATATATATATATATATATATATATATATATCTTGAGAACTTGTATTTTGAAATCTTAATAAGTAGACGACTTCAAAAAAACAAAAAAAAAAAACCGAAATTTAAGTAGGGTCAATTAACCCCATAAGCCAAACCTTGTTAACTGCTGTAAGGCTGGCAGAATCTGAGACCGGGAAGACAAAGGGTTCTATGGTATTATTTGGGTGAAGTTTGTTCATTCGTGTGATCTCAGCCGTGTCAAAGCTTGTCTTAATCGATCTCGTGTAGGTTCCTTTACTGTATCCTGCTGGAGGTCTTCCATCAGTGATACCGCCTCTGCTACCGTGTTTAGTAAACTCTCGATCAATATCGACAGACTTCCTATTAACACAGCAAGAGCAGGACAGTAATGACATAGTCTTTCCCTGATGTGTTTTGCCATTACCTTCATTATTAGACGTAGACAGAGTCCTATGTAGACGCCTCAATAATGCGCTCTGGCTATTCGAGCTCAGTTCTGACTGACTGCTAGGAGTTCGAAACTGAGATTTCAGCTTATTCGAGTTAACTCTGACTATCTGTTCAGGTCCTTCAGAACGCTCTTCATGATTATGTTCTGACAGTTGAAATCTTGCACTTTTAGACCTTGTTGAGTTACTACGCTCCTGATCTATTATTCCACTGCTGAAGTACTTATCAGCACTGAATACGTCGATTTCTCCATCCTCGACCTTCTTCTGCCTCGAGTTATGCAGATGATCATGCTGCTGCTGCTGCTGCGGAGGCTTTGAAAGTAGTTGGTTTTGGCTGGACTCAATGAGGCTACGGATGTACGTTTCCTCGGAGCTATTGAGATAGGAAGAAAAGGAGGCTTCACGAAGGCTACTATTGTTGCTTTCCGAGGACCAAGATGGCGGTAGGCTTAGGCGGGTGCTAGTGGGTGATAGTGAAGCCATAAATGAAGTATCAGCAAGATCAGGGTGTAGTATTAGGATTAGTAGTAGATTGAGGTAAAGAAGAGAACTTTAAGTTGGGAGATAATGACTCAACAAAGAAGAGAGTTTAATTATATAAAGGGATATAAAACATACTCGTATCAAATTGCAGCAGGCAGATGGCTGGAAGAAGGCCGAAAATGACTATACCTTGAAAATGTCTAGAGTAAAAGGTACAAGAAAGAAGCAAAAATATCACCAATATAATGTCAAGGCCTCGTTTTGTTCAGCTTAATTTGAATTATTTCATACATAAAAAATTCTAATAAGTTTAGGCAATATAAGTTTTCAGGATACTTTAAACAACACGAGTGTTTTATAACAAGTTCACACACAAAAAAGTTTTTCTTTTAGTCTAATTAAATTCAGATAAAATAAGTTTAGACAAGTTTTGATATGTTGAATCAATAAGAGCTTGAATTAGATGGTTGATAAAACACTTTGAAATTAAATTCAATGAATTGGCTTCAACAATTTGTGCATGGAGATAAGACACTTGACAGTTAGACACAAACAAAGCGTATAGTCAATTTCATCCAAGTTTTTCAAGTAAGCTGGTTTTGTTGCGGTGCAATTGAGCCTATAGAAGAATAGGACGTCTAATATTTATATTTTCACTTAAAATATGAAAGCACTACTATTCTCTGGCAAATGATTCATTACTTGGATTGCATTGCGTTTAATTGAGTCACATTCGAATGTTGAGTTTTATGATTCAAGCTCAATGATCAAATTAGGTCATGTTATATATATACACAAGATTCTTTTGTCTTTTTACAGATATTAATCACTTTTAATCAAAATAATTCACTTTGAACATTTTTCCTTGAGGTAAGTTTTGCCACGCTTCAAAATACACATCGTGAAAAAGGAGATGTTATTCATATTTTCGGCCATCTTTGTAACACCAAAATAAGTGAAAATTGAAGATACATGCCAAAAAAAAAAAAAAAAAAAAAAAGAAAGGAAAAGGAAAAAGAACTTGTAACATGTGGTGTTACATTACTCACATAGAGCTAGGGAATGAGAGAGTATAAAGTTTAATTGTTGTGATTTGCATCATGACAGTTGGATGTGTTTACAAAAATTCAAGAAACATTTAAGTTATTGAAAGCTTTGACGTTGGCCTTTCGCTTTTAATAGTTTGATTGCGATATGTTGCTCTTTTTTTACCATGCATGAAAATGACAACACCTTATCATGAGAATAAAATTACACTTGATCAACTTATATAAATATTTGATGTTATTATCATTGACATGATCTTATGACATGCACAACTAATAGAACAAAAAGGACCTGTTTAATGCGATTACATGTACAATATGGTCCCTGATTACATTTTAGCTTCGATAATCAACATAAAGCTTGTTGTATGCTCGTTACATAGTTCTCTATACTTGTTTACGTGCACTTTGATTACAAAAAAATTCGAAAATTATATCATTGGTTGTATAAGAGAGACATACAATAAAGAGCAATAGGTGTGATTAGTCCGAATACTATCATATGCTAGTCAAAATTATTATATTATCGATGTTATTTGCCTATTTGGTATTCAATAATAATTCATGGTAAGAATTTCTATATAATATTGCAAGTATAAGAAGAACTTGTGGCAATGTCAAGAAACTTTAACAACATTGCTAATATAATGAAAAAGTCTTTTATGATGGTCTATCATATCGTTTCTTTCTATATTACCTCGTGTCATCATCTCAAATCATTCCAAATTCAAATAATAATTGAGAAATCCGATAAACAAATGGATTAATGAAATTCTAGCCATGCAATTTCACTCTTTATTCTCCTATTTTTGATATCATTATTCCTCTTTTCAAAATATAATTCTATCTATTATGCTTGCCCGTGATACGTGGGTCTGGCTTATGGTCATTATTCTTAGAAGAAATTGCAGGTTCTTGTATTGTCCAAGGAATTCTGGTATTTGTTTCTTAGTGAAACGAACATCATCAAAATTCAAAATCCAGTCCTCTTCTTTAAATACTATCCAATCCAAAGAAACATTCCATGAACCACATTATTAGTGCTTTTACTTCATTATAAAATTGCTTTTGTAAACCCTACCAAGTTAGAATTGAAGTAAATTCTCATTTGTAATGTTGGATGTCGATTTGAAGCTAGAATTGAATTCGTACACTTAAAGACGTATCTTGCTCATCTGTAATGCTTAAAAGCATCTATTTTAAGCACACTCGAGTGTTATAAAAATTGCATTTGGTTAGAGATCATTATTGTTATTCCTGATCTAGGGTAATACCTTATTCGATATTGATTATTGGTATTAGTTGTTTACTTGAATTCTAACTAACATGAAGTAGTAGTTTCACTATTATAGTTACTTGACTTGTTTAATTAGCTGATTGTATTTGTGCTTTACATGGATTAATTCTCTTCTAAAGAAAACATCCCACATCAGTGAATAGTTTAAACAAATTATATATATATATTGGTGTTTAGAGAGTCACTAGGGTGGGGTGAGAATCGATCTCAAAATCTTCTGGAATCGGGAGGAAAACTCTAACCACTTGAGCTAACCCTTACAACTATATTAAGAAACTTCACATGATAATGTATTTATGTCATTATGTGGCAACAGAAAGGACAAAAAGAATGCGGGCAATCTTGTTGCTATTCTCTCCAAAATAAACACACAACAAGCATATATTTTTTGACCATAAGTGGAGAAAACCATAATATATGGTAAAAAATATTATTGGGTAATTGTGTCACTAATAAAGAAACAAAACTATTAGTACGGACTAATATAATTGGTAGAATGAATTTAAAAAAGATAAGGAGGGCCGCCTTCCCCCACTTTTGCTTGTGAAATGGAGAGGAAAAAACATGGCATTAAATGCATAATCTTACATTTTTTTTAGGGTAAAATTGAGAAATAAGCAGAAAAGATCAAAAGAATAGTGTAGAGATATGAATGAATGATAGATTGAGTATGGAGAGTTTTAAGGCTTTGTTGGCTTCCTCAGGTCCCAAAATTGATTTTGTGGTTCTCATTGGTAGGAGTTGCATTTTGTTGTTAACCCTTAATCTAATAAACCCTCACCCTCGAATAGTAGACTATAGACAAGAGTGTGGAATACTCATTGTACACACAAGTAACATATTGCATGCCGACATGCGCATATGTAAAAGAACAAATCGTTGTGATAAAAAACATGTTGGAGATTTTTTTATTTATTACTTTGTATTATATTATAGCTATACATGTAATAATATCATAATCTTTTATCACGGAATATAATATCATATTCTTTTACATATGTACTTGTGTTCTTTAGGTGCATAGTAACTACACTATACATCATGGTCCACCATTTAAATTGCACCCATCCCTGAAGATGGGGCTTTGAGCGTTGGCTAGGCAAGTACATATTTGAAATCGAGTATAGAGTACTCTCTTATGAGTTATGACAATCAATGTGCACAATGGGGAAATAGGCAAGATTGGAAAAACAATATTTGAGTTGGCAATCATATTATTCGGATCAAATTATATTGGGTTGGATTGTTTACTAGTTTTCATGTATGACTTGTTTAGGTCGAATTCGAGTTCAAATCGGATTGTTTTCGATTCTTTTGGGGCAATTTGAGTCAAGTCGGGTCGAAATGTAGCAAGTGATTTCTAGTAAAGTTTGAGTTTTAGGTCAGGTATTTTGGATCGGATAATTAGGCTTGAATTAGTTTTGCTAGGTCTACGATTTGCTAGCATAGGTGTATTTATTAGATGATGGAAAATAGAGATTAAGAATTGGAGAGGAACCTAATTGACATAACCTATAAGCTTTTTGTGAAATTGGAGCAACATTTTTCTAATTTTAGGGGGTAAACTTTCAAAACCTTATAGATTATGTCAAGAAAGTGAGACAGTACATCATGTAAGGGCTCATCGAGGTTCAGCATATCTCAAATGGACTGCTCCATCCAAAGTAGAACAGCCTTAAATGAAAATTGGAAAGGATATCGTTAAAACAGAAATGAGCAAAAATAATTTGGAAAGATTTTTTTTTTTTTTTTTCTTTTGACAAGACAATAAATAAGTTGCTAGTACAGATTCAACAAAAATTGAAGAGTATAGAGTACATGTGACGCATATATAAATCAAAACTAATTAATCTTTTTCTGTCTCCTAACAAAACGATACTATAATCAGCTATTGCTTAGAAACTAATTACTAAGAAGGGTAGCCATAAATCAAAGCAGACGAACACACAGGGGCATCTAGCAGGGTGTTGAAAAAATACATTTGCTGAAGCAAATCAAGGAAAAGAAGTGAACACACCCAGTAGCACAAATGTGATTTTCAATTCAGAGCGTTCATTACAGATTTGAATTATGAGCTGCCGAGGGAATTGCAAGGGGACTCACTAGTTTTTGTTTTGGCATAATCATTGGGTGGATGTACTATTACCTCCATCAACGGTCCAGTACTGCTTAACTGCAACCAGTATCTTCTCGGGAACCAATGGACCATCCTCGTGATCCACCAATCTCGTGTCCCACCTCATCCCAGCTACTATCTTTTTCACTTTTACCAACACGTCTACTTCATCCCGAATTATTACTGCTCCTTCAGGACGCAATATACGGTCCATCTCAAGAAGTATGTCTTCCAAGTTGCACCTGCATTCATCGGATGAAAATCTTCAGAATTATAAGGACAAAATGGACAATGACTTTCCAGTAACTATAGACCACAATGCCAATTAAGGCAGGGGGTGAGGACAATAATTTTAATCTTTCAGATTCTTTCATACAGCTGAAGTTAGTTTGTAACTGCATTGTGCTTCAAGTTAAGCTAAATTGGATAATAATAACAAACAGCTGGTACACCACCGGACAAAGTAAGAAGTGGTCACACCAATAACAAATACATTTTCCTAATAACAAAGCAACTTTGTTTGTACTTGTATAATTTATACTAATAACTGCATGGGTTAGAAATAAAAGTACATTTTCCTGACTAATTCATCAAAAGACATTAGTAAATAGTAACCCATAGGGTACCACATAAAATTGCAACTCCACATGTTTGATATGGAATACTGCAATGATATCCAAAAATTTGTAATATAGTAGAATGATTACATACATAAGTAGTATTTGAAAGGAAAGAAATGTGATCAGGAATTCAGGAACCAAAATTTTAGCATTCACACA